CATATGTAAGTATTAAATCTTTATGTATGTAAACCCAAACCTGGACATTGGCCTGGATGATCTCATGCAGGTGGGAGTTGTTTTGTTTTAATCTGCCCACATTACTCATACTGACTCTTATAATTAAGTCGTCTGTAAATTTAAAGAGGCTTGACCATCCAACATCATACTGTAGAATTTGTTGTATCATTCTTTGCATTTTTAAGGGTATAGATTTTTATCACTGATTTTTATAAGCTCACATGGAAATGTGGACATATATTGCTGTCGCCCCCATCCGTCCGTCGTCCACAATTTCATGTGAATGCTCTAACGCCAAAAGTTATCTGATTGTTTTAAAAATGTGCAATTTGAAAGATTTTGTCAGCGATATTTTATCCTACTCTGCAATTTGCTGCATTCGATAAAATCTACATTCACCAACAAAAAGTTCACAGTGGTTAATTGGTCAAATATGGCATAAATTTAGCATTTGACTTCCCTAAAATGCTTCATTAATTATAATTAAAATATTAGATATCTGGATTGGGCTCCCTTTAACTTTACTGTGTATCTGTATAGAGGAATTTAGTCATTGACCACCATGTAGTGAGATTTAATAGCCAGTAATAAAGATAGAGGATTGGTAGTTGTGAACTAATCCTTAAACCATAAATCTAGCTCTTAGCCAAGACCTGAACCCTTCATAAGTACCCCCTGGTGTGTAATGAGCTTGGTGGAAGTTACACAGACAGTGTAACAATGTATATGTAAAAAGTATATATATAGAGAAACTGACCAGCATACTGCAAGCCTATGTTGTTATGTCTTGAGTCCACTCCACCTGGGTTCTAAATAAACATAGCCCCTCCATTCATCTTTGCAAGAGCTAAGTCAATAAAATAAACCTACCATGTTAAACTAATGTCCAGTACAAACACCACTCAATAACTTCAAATAGTTGGACGGCTGTATGGATACCCTAGATAGTTGTCAAATTAGGCACGCTGGACCCTGTTTGATTTAGTAGGCAAATATCTTCAACAATGAAAATGGTTAATTATGATCTTAAAATTGTTGGTTTTTAGTCTGAGAATGCACAGTTCCTGCTTGATAAACATGCAGATATGATTTATTCTTTCATAGGGTACATGTAGATGCCATTTTACTTTTCCTCCGCTCCAGGAGAAGACCCATGGAACTTAATGATTATTATTTTAAGTCAAGCATATGACTAGGGGTAACCTTTCAGGCTTAATGGTAGCAGCATGTTGTAAATATGTAAAAAGCAATGGCTAATTGTTTTGCAGTTATTTGACTATTCAATTAAAATAGTGCTGCTGTGAAATGTTATATTGTTTATCTTATCATCTATCATCATCTCCATCATAAACATCAGTTGTTCAGTTAACATCAAAGGAATGTATGGATTGTATTGTTTTATCTAATTTTGGCATGGATATAAAAATTGTTAGGGTTCTATAGAACATTTATTTTCTATTGTTGGCTTATCTTGTGATTTCATCACAACAGATGTTGTATATGTTGGGAGATTTGTTAATGAATTAACTGAAAAATTTGTATAATTGTTTAAATGGAGACTATGTGTGACAATCATTTAGTATTTTTATACATTTAGTCTGATATAGCAGTCATTATATTTATAATGTTGCCTTTACCCCTGATCTGGATAAAAAGTATAACAGTGCAATTGTCATTCAGTAGTTTCCAGGTTCCTCAATATTAATGAGGATTTGACACAAAGGGTTCTTCACATCACTGCATTTGGACAACAAAAAAATACTGAAATTCAATTTAATATTATTTTTTTTTAACTAATAACAAAATATATTGGTTTCTTCTTTAAATTATCTAATTATAGCTAAGCTTTATTGTGATAAAGGGATAGATGTATTGACGATCTTATCTTTTATTGTGAACTTCTACAACTGGAACTTTTCCAACTCAACAAGTCTGAGATTTTTGACTTGATGAATTGGCATAACATAAATAGATTTATTGCATATTTACGTGTATTGTATAGTCGTTTTTTCATGCTTTCGTCAGTTTATTTAACTAAGAAAATACACAAAATTGTATTGCCCTGGAGTTTTTATTTAAGAATTGGTTATTTTGGAGAACGACACATTTAATACTAAATATAATTTATTCTAGATTGAATAGAGTGATTGACTCGAGGCAGGAGCGTATTATAAAATACATGACACTTGGATATCAGATATTTATATCGCGAGTTATTTTTTATGTTGGTTTTTTTCCTTCTTGTTGCAATTTTATAATAATGAGCTTGAATGTTAAATTTACATATAAAATAAAATTAAATGCAGCTATAAAAAAGACATATGTTTAAGTCTTTTATCTCATTCATTTAGTTTGCCGGAGTTATTTGGTCGCCTCCCTCAGTTATGATAGCATGTAACAGTTAATAAATAGCCTGTATATACTGGTGTCAGTAATAAAGAGCCAGAACATTTTGAAGCAAACCAAGGTTATTAATAGCATTTTCTCTTCAAATAGGGAACCCTGACAACCCTTTATTCCATGAAGTTCAAAATAGAATTTTAAAACCTTGGATAGCAAATTAAATTTTAAAACACGATTAACAAATTTTAAATTTTGCTATGCATTTTTATATTTGAGTGTTCCCAGAGATTGTTCAGATTTGTTTATCAATAGCCTAGATGATGCATTTATGTACAGAGCATAGCTGGCTTTATTTATAACCTCTTGGGATTATTCTTGATTCTTTTGTTTTCACCAACTTCGGGAAGGTTCTGTACCTAAGTGAAATAAAGATCAACATGGTTCCAAAATGATTTAGCACTAGTTGCACACAGTAAGTCATAAATCTGTCTGCTTGACTGTAAATATCGTAGTTGATTTACAGCTTTTAATTGTTGATAGGAGAGTAAATTTGGGTTAAAATACTTAAAATGGTTGGCATACTGTAGTTTTGACCTAGAGTAGATGAGATGGTGTTATCAGCAGGGAGACAGCCATTTGATACAGTATGATGTACTTCCCATAATACTTAATATGTAGCTGGTTTCCTGTATATAACAGTATACTTATATCAGTTATATATATGTACCAGGATAAACAATATCCTCTCCTATATCCTCATTTCTTTATGCTTATTTATTAAAGAGAGGGTACAATATTCTTTATTTTCATTTATTAAAGGGAGGGTACAATATTCCTTCCTATATTCCCATTTCTTTACTCTTATTTATTAAAGAGAGGGTACAATATTTCCTCCTATATTATCATTTTGAGTATAGACTATTAAAATGAGTTCTAATTTGGTGAGAGCGATTCATTATATCAATACACTGTCTGTCACATGGACTATTAGGCTAAGTAGCACTAAGCAATTTGACTGGTCAAGACTTAGGAACATAACACTTCTGCTTTTAATTGAGGTATAGATGTTCATTAGGTGAATGTCTTGACTGAGTTTAATGATTAATTTTTCAAATTAAAGCTAAGCAGAGCTAAGCAATTTCGTTGGTCGATGCTTTGGAACAAGATAACCAATAACTGATGGAGAGTGATGAAACTTAGTTTATAGGTTCACTCACTACCAGGTACTTCAAAACCTTGACTGTGAACATTTTATGCTTAGACTAAGCATAGACAACCAGTTTGATTACACAATACTTTTGAAAAAGATAGATTTGCAATTAATTAATATGTTTCGTCTGTTTTTGGGGTTTTTTTTAATTTTAGCGGGGGACATCAGCATCACTGTTGGCTTGTTTTACCCTCCTTTATGAAAGGGAAGGTACAAGTAGAACCACCTTCTTTTGTTTCTCTGTATAAAAAAGAAAGTTTGTTCGTGGGTTTGCTACCAAATAGTTCAGCGTATAAATTTTAGGATAACATATTAATAATCAGTTTTATACACCCACAGAGACGCCTAAACATTTTCCAGGATTTCCGATAATTACTGCCAGAGTTATAGCCCTTGATTACTTAGAAAAATCTTGCGGATGCTCTACAGACCATAGTTATCATTCGATTGACTTTAAATTTATACTTATACTTCAAGGTCTTGAGATGAACAAGAAAATTGATTTTCAATGATTTTTGATAATTTGAACAGCTAAATCTATGATATTAATTGTTTTGTATACAAGCCAAACAAATTCTAATGATTTCTGAGTTATTACTTAATGATTTATTACTCTTAATCAGATTTTGGTGTATTGTAAATGTTTCATCACTGACAAAAAAAGATCTGTGACAACTCTTGTTAACTGCTCGGACGACTTACATGTAGCTACTGTGGGCATATGTTTTATTGTCTGGCAACCTATCTTTTTACAAGGATTTTAATGGTGCCATTTATTTAGTATTTGGTGCAGTATAGAATGATAAAATTGACAATTAATGATCAATCCGTTATTTGAGAATGTACTATATTTTTGTAGACAGGCCCATTACCTTCAGGAAAACTCTTTATTTTTCTGGCAAATTTTTAACTCAAATAGAAGACAGTCCAAATTCAGAATTTGAGCTATCAATCACACCCTCAAGTCACATGTTTATAAGGTATTTACAAATTGCTTGAAGAAACACCATATTGGGGGAGTGGGGGAAGATTAACATGGCTGTGATGACTAGTCTGGGCCTGTGGTGAACTCATACCAATATTGTAAATGATGCAATGTTGAGATTGTATATGATATACATGTTACAAAATATATGCAGTAACAGATCGTTTAAAAATAATTTCTGCATTTTGAATCAATGCATTTACCAGTAAGTTGATAATTGTGCAACAATAGACTCCTGCTGGAAATCCCTGGCAAAAGCATAACTGTCTTTCACAATAGATCAAGAATACTCCCCCCCCCCCAAATATATATATATATATATATATATATATATATATATTCACAGCTATATTAATCACTTCTACATAAATGACTATAGCAGTAATAATGTGATTTTAAATGATGATACCATATATTTAATGTATTTATTTTCTGTTGTAGAAATTACCATGTATTCTACTACCTACTGGCTGGAGCTGATGATACTGAGAGACATTCCTTACATCTGACAAAACCTGAAGAATATAACTATCTTTCATGTGTATGTATTAAAACAAAATAGTAAATGATTGCAAATCTTGCCACCTTGAATTTTTTTTTTACCAAATTAGGGTTGTGTACTGAATTTAACTCTCCTGTCCCACTGACCTAATTTTCGATCAGAATCTTGAAATATGAGCTTTTAAATTTTTTTGACTTTTTGGAGGGAGAAATTATTATAAAACAGCAGTTTGTTGATCAGCAATTATTCCAGGTGAAGATCATCAAGTAAACAATAACAAACAACTAGAGAGTAGTATGCAGTTTACTTAGACCATGATGTATTCTCTCACCGTGGACGTATATTGCAACATTTCTGTATATTTTGGAATATGGGAAAAATCATTATTTTGTTCAAACAAATTTTGGCAATGGAAAATTTTGTATGCATTTTTCCATAGATGACAAAATACACAAGATGTTGCAAGGAATATTTTTTAACTATTAAAATTTGAGTAAGATCTCTGCAGATAAAGCAAAATGGTTTTTGTCCAGTAGGCAAACACTTGAATAAATCAACAAACTGTAAAAATCAACATCATTTGACAGTCTCAAGTTGTAAAAGTCAAGAATAAACTGTTGAAACCAATATTTATTGAGTCAAACATCATGTTGATTAAGTAACGGTTCAATGTATAACAAGATAACTGACACTTCTTTTAGGAATCATTACATCTTAGTTTTAAACTAGTTTGATATTGGGATAATAAAACCTGTAGTTACAGAAAGTGGAGTCCTAATGTTTGTATAATTCAGTATTGTGTGGATTTCCCCTCCCCACCATTGTTCTTTATAAATGGCTGTCGTGGATTATTGTACGCCCACATGGAAATGTGGACGTATATTGCTATCGCCCCACGGTCCGTCATCCACAATTTCATGTGAACAATCTTACACCAATAATTATCATCCAATTGTTTTAAAATGTTGTTTACATTAGTAAGATGAAGAATCCTATTTAATTTCTATAATTTCCATTCATTACGTCTGGAGTTATGGCCCTTGTTTCATTTTGTTGAACATTGTGAACACTCTAATGCCAAAAGTTATCATCCAATCTTTGTGAAATTTCTCTTTGTTGCATCTTGTAAGCGCTCTAACATCAAAAGTTATCTGCTGATCTGTATGAAATTTATATGCGTCAATTAAATTAGTAAAAATAAGAATCGTATTGAATTTCAGCAATATCTGTTTATTATGTCTATGTTATAGCAATTGTTTCTGTTGTGAAACAGAGGTCTATTGAATTTCAGCAATTTCCGTCAATTATTTCTAGAGTTATGGCCCTTGTTTTACTTTTTAAACCTTGTGAACGTTCGAATGACAAAAGTTATCATCCGATCTTATGAAATCTATTTGCATAATTTGAATTAGTAAAACGAAAAAGCCTGTCAAATTTCAAAATTTTCTGTAAATTACTTCCATAGTTAAGACACTTATTTCTGATTGTAGAACCTTGTGAACCCCCAAACGACAAAAAATATATTCTGATCTGTATGAAATTGTCTTGTAAATCTGTGGCAACCCTTGTCGACTGCTCGGACGATTTAGTTGCTGTGTGTGTATGTTTCGTTGCCTGGCAACCTATATTTTTAAAAATGTATATTGTTTGACTATTGAACCAAAATTCTATTTAATTTGTATACGGTTAAATTATTTTATAAGAGGTTTATTTGTTTTACAGAGTAATTGTGTGATTCTTGAAGGAACAGATGAAAAATATGAATTTGCTCGACTTAAACAGTCCATGGAGATGGTGGGATTTTCTCCAGAAACACAAAGAAGGTATAATAGGATAATGTACATTTAATATGTATCAAACCAGTATAAAATTGTGTGCTTTATTATCGGATGTTAAACTGAATTAGCACTGTCATCAAAGGCAGACTTGGAGAAGAATCGGATATGTTCTTGAGATATTTTTAATGCTAGCAGCTTCAAATATTGGCCTATTTCATCACCAGTTAAGAACAAAATGTCACCTTCGTGTAGAATTTTTAATTTTAAACTCTAACCTCCGGCTACTGTATCTCAGTAAGCTCTACATTCACTAATGTTCAAAGATCAATATATGCACTCCCAGGTTTTTTAGCGATGATTAAGAATCATTAATACAGATCAGCAACCAATGAGAAAACCCTCAAGCTCAATAGGTCAAATGGTTTACTCTTAAATTAACTCTAAAACTTGAGTCATGTCCTGTTATTATTAACTAAAATGATGAATATATCATATATGAAAATATATTCAATAACTTGGTTACTATATTACAAAAAAATATAACCAGTGAGACCCACACTGCACATAAACAAACACCAACCGACCAAACCTGCTGGCAAGACACACAGCCCACAGACATTGAGGCCACAAACAACAAAAGTTTTATCAAATCAAGGGAATGGATTTGGGGGCAGTCACAGGCTTCAGTCAAAAGGAAAACAAACTCACAGCAAGGGAAACAATCCATATTTCCTAAACATATTATTCCCGTGCAAGTCATGATGGACTGTGTGTTCACAAGACATCTCAGTGTCAGCACATTAAAGAAAACAGTTTATAAACTATTCTCTTTATAGAAATGAGACAAAAAAGCCAAATTAGTAGGATATCAAGGACTTAAAATAGTTATCAATAGGGATCAAAATTTAAGTAGCCTATTTGAAAACTATATGCATGTATTAAATACACAGTTGGGGCATATATTATTTTCCAAAAGAAAGTTATATTATTGTTTGGGTGTATATAATATATTAATCTGTTATAAAATAGAGGCCTGAAAAAGTGACAAACTACTGACATATCAAAATAGCTACAGTGTAGATTATAATGATAAATCATTCTAGTTGATAAACTGACAGACTAATTAAACTTTAGATCTACATCATCAATTAGATGAATATGTAACATAACCTAATTGATCTTTATTTCCCTTAGGCTCCATCTTTCTCACTCTTAGACACTGATAATAAATATAATTATCTCATCCTAAAATTTGTATTTATTTAATTATTTAGGGCATTTGTTAATTGAAATTTGTATTTTTCTTACAGAATTTTCAGTGTTTTATCTGCTGTTCTCCATTTGGGTAATATAGAATTTAAAAAGGTCAGTTATGCTTACCAATCCTTTTATACTGCCATCAGTATCCTCCCATATTTAATGATGAAATTTAGATTTACAAAAAGACATTTTATTAAACACAAAACGAAGAACAAAATTCCCAATAACCTTTTTGAAACCTTTCTCTGTCTGGGCTCCATTTATATCGCTATAGCTATATATTTGATTTACATGTACCAGTACATAATTCATTTATACATGAAGCTGCCCCCCAATAAATCAATAATTTGAAAAACAGATATTATGCAATGTATTGCAATACGATATTTGGCATATCAGTATTTCATTCTACTTTCATTTTGTTTGAAAATAGACTTTTGGTGATTGTTTTTATTCTCTGTTCATCAAACATACTTTCTATGATTTAATTCATTAAAATTCAATTAAGCAATAGTCCAAAAAAAGTTTGTATAAATTATTGGTGATTTCAGATATATATTTAAAGGAGCTAAATCGCTAACATTTGGGATCTAGAAATTCACAAAAGTGGGTCGCAACACATACAATACTGTAATATGAATGTATATAAACTGATTTACATTTAATAGTTTCCGTTTTTACTCCAATTTCAAATCAGTTATGTTCGGCGAAATAAGTCAGCAATCTCAATCGAGTGCAAATTTCTAGCGTCTAGTTATTCTAGTCTACATAACTCCATTTGTTTTTGGTGCAATGTGTCTAGCCTCGTCCCTCGAGTCTCTCAATACAACTGGGGCTGGAGCGCATTATGGTACACGATTCGTGTACCAATGTTAAAAAAATTATTTTATCTTAAATATCGGATATCAGAAGCTCATCTTTTCCCGGTAAGTTTACATCATCAATGTTGATTTAAATTGACCAATAATTCGATGTCGAAGATTTTGGAGGATTTTGAGTTACGGACTTAGGTCCTTTAATGTAGGCCTACTGAACATTCTGCACAAAGAGAACTAACTACTTCGAGAATAATTAATCTCTGCCCAGAATGACCACCATATCTCAAAATTAGTATATTATTTTGTAATGCAGTTTAACTCCATTTCACATCTGTTATACACACAAAGACTAAATAAAACTTCTCTATATGGAAGCGAAATGATACTTCTCACAATTCGTGAAGTATACTTAGTGTTTTCGACTAAGGAATTAAAATGTCGGTCAACTAGCTTAGTGTTCTCAACCGGAGCTAGTTGTAGACACAGTGTAAGTTTAGTATGCCTGAATCTGAAATTATATTTTGGTGTTTTACAAGCATTCTAATTCCAAAATTCCATTAGAAAATTTCTACAAATATATGAACGAAATTGTTTTTATCAAAACCTGATCAATGAAATATAGGGTTTTCCCCCTTGAAAATGGATTTTATTATATACCGGTAATGCGATAGTATTGGAATACGGATGACTGTATTACAATATATTACAATGTGATTTTTAGTTGAATACACAATCTCTTTTGTTAAACAGATCCATGTTATTTAGTAATTCAGTTGTTAGGAAATGCATATGCATGGCAAAATCATGAATGAATACTCAGTAAATACGGTTATTCCTACTACAAGAATATGCAACAAGCTGTTTATTTTTACTAAAGGGACATACTGTCGAATTTAAGATAAAAGGATCAAATACCATCTCTTCTAATTTATTATTTTCATGTGGTCAAACGAAGAATGTGAGCTAATCAAATTGTGTAATTATTTTAGTTTCTTATTATTTTTTTATGGAATTATGAGTTAATTAGATTATGTGTATTTATTTAGTTTCATATCATTTTTTTTTTATCATTTTGAACAATAAAAGATAAAAGATAAGAATATATTGTCATTTTTATTTCAGAAAGGAGATCAACACCATGATGAATCTGTATCAATTAAAAATGAAGATACAGTAGAAATAATCTCTAACTTACTTAAGGTAAAAAAATATGTGTGCTTCTTTTATTGTATCACAAAATATTACTTGTGTTGTGAAAATATGATAATCCACTGTGCATTAGTTTATTTGGTGAGGGTGGAGCAGGGTGCTTTTGTCATAGGGGATGCTCGATTATCAGTCCTGAATGTGATGAAATGACAGAACTGCCTATCAGTCCTGTTACTATTCTGTCAGTCCCCACAGCGGAGGTGGTGTGAGTAGAAATGTGACATAATTAAACACAACGAATATAGTTCAGCTGTCATTGTTAGTTGAGATATTTTTATATTTATATTCATATATATTTTATATATATGTAGCCTGAAATCCCCCTTCTAACTATTTTTGGAATTAAGAGAATTCAGTTCTGGAACGGTCAGTCGAGTTTCCCCATAGAAAATATCAAGTAGATAAAGGGAGATAATAACATGAAGCATAACATAGATTGACCTACCAGTGATTTTGCTATATACACGTTTCTCTCTGTAATGTATTCAACTGGTGATATTGTCTAATATCTGTGTCAAGCTAACTTCAATATTTTTCAGTTAGTCACTCTGATGATAAATAGAAAAATATCCTACAAATCTCTTTTCACCTCTGATTTATTTAATTTATCAGCTGTTATATAAATAGATTATGAGATTCCATTAGTTATAGGGATATTAATGTTTGTTTTCTACAGGTGAAAGAGAAAACTGTGATAGATGCTTTGACTCAGAAAAAAACAATAGCTGGTGGAGAAACAGTGGTTATTAATTATAAAATGGAAGATGTAAGTTGCTGTAGTTGTTTTAATTCATCGAACATCTTATTCACCCATATTACTGTTATGAGTGTTTGAAGTTTTGACAAAAATGTAGCATAGATTGTTTATTATCGTAGCAACAGTACTTGAGTCTCGATTTGTTTTTTTATATCGGTAAATTCTTAAATGGCTGCTGTGATGTAATCTACTTAACATCAGAGCCATCCGATGACCCAGAGTCAATAGATTATGGGTATTTTCTCTACTGAAAGTTGGGGGGTTGGATGACCGAATGGTTAGCACGTGCGTGCTGTATCATAAGGCCTGTCATTGAGTCAACTGGCGTGGTTTCGAATCCCCGGTTGTACGTGACAAGGAATAGGGTCGCCTGTCCAACCTCGTGGGTTTTCTCCAGGTCCTCCGGTTTCCTCCCACTGCTAAAGAACCCTACGCGCAAGCGAATTATTGAAATAAAATTAAACCAAATGTTAGTCCCGAAATGACCTAGTTTGTGTCGAGTGGACGTTAAACCCCATCTCTCTCTCTCTCTCTCTCTCTCTCTCTACTGAAAGTTGAATTTGTCACGGCAAATGTGCACGGTTCAGTGACTTGTCTCGAATTGATTACTGGCTAGTCACGCGGTATGATACCACTTGACTCTAGAGTCTATAAATAGCCATCATACGTGAAATTCTCTACACATCTATCAACTATTACAGATGTAAAAAAATCTATTTTTGACAATTCTGAATAGCAGTAATATTTAACATTTTGGTTATTACAGCAGCTTTAGAAAGTATGTTCTTTCATTAACTATACCGTTAGGAGCGGCATCTTTTGGTTTAGTACAAATAATATCTTTGAAACACTCAGGTTAGGCAAGAACATGATACTAGCAGTAGTTTCATTTTACTTTTACAAGCTTCTTAAAACAATTGTTGAGTTGCCTAACGTGCGTGTTTCTAAATTCAATTTCTTGTTTCACCTTTGTGTTATGTTTCGTAAAAAAGTAGTCTTGACTATCCCAGCCTGTCAATCAGATGGAGAATGATCGGTAAACTGGTTAAACGAGACTAATTTCAAAACAAGAGCATGTAACCTATTTTTTACTCAAAAGTGCCTGGCTGTTATGGACGACACTAGTAACCATTTTTCAGTCTATTATTTATGGATGATTAAATGGTCATAGCCGTTTATCTAGTGACTATAAATGTACGAAACTGATTTAGGGTTTGGTACATGTATATATATAAATATTCTGGTGTAGTTGTCAAGATATTTGGAGATATTTATTTATGGTTGGGCACCCTACATTTGAAGCCAGATGAAATATCTACAATAAGCAAATTTAGCTCTTACATAATGCATCTGTCATGATTGCTACAACAGATAGCATTATGAGAAATTGTTTTTATTGCTGACTAACCACTTCTTCCCCATTCATTAGTTTAGTTTAATTCCCATCTATACCAATATTTTTGTGTATATTTTTCAGGCAATATCTACCCGAAATGCCATGGCTAAATGTATATATGGTGCCTTGTTTGATTGGATTGTATTGAAAGTAAACCAAGCATTATTGGCCAAGAAACATAACAGCGATCACCAGGTACACACTGATGAAATAAGTCCCAAGTCACCATCACTAGCTGTCAAAGTGGGTAGAATTTGTGAGCCGCATGCTTCGTGGTTATGGTTGTTGATTGATCATGGTTTAATTCTGATTTTGTTCATCAATTCTCGGAATCAATCGATAATTTATTTGTCAGATGTTATGGTTTTATTTCTTCCTTCTATTGTTTTTTTTCATTTGGTTGTTTTTTTGTTGAGTTTTGGTTGTTTGTTGCGGTTTTATTTTTTACACCTTCTTTAGTACCGATAGAGAAAAACTTCTCCTAAAGCATTTCTCGTTTCTCATTATATGACATATCGATTAACTGATATTGATAAAGAATTTTTAATCAAGCCTGTCTGTGTAACATACGTAACCCAAGAGTTTTTCTGACTAATTTTTGTTTAATGGACAGTGTTGATAATCTTTTTGGAGGATTTGACAACAGCGTTTTGTGATTGTCTCAAAGCATTTTTATACTAGATTTATTAAATCATTAACAATTGCATTTATCAACACTAGGTTTTACTAAGCACAGCCATTTCTAACATTCAAAATTGTCTAATAAGATGCAATACTAATAATATTAACTTCTAAAATTGTACACTTTTATAATAAATACTATTTTCATCAGTAACTGCTTTAGTAGATACCATTATTTCAATGCCCTTAGGATTTGCATAGAAGTTGTTTTTATAAGTTAAAGATCATTATTTGATGTAAGAATTGAAGAGTTCATTCCTTGGCTTTTTTAGTGTGCTGTAATTTGCTTTTATCAGTTGTGTTTTGTTGTTGCAAATAATAGGCTTTTAATATCATGTCGCTTTGTTTTAAACAGCCAGTCTTTACAGTTATGGGGAATTCTCTAAATAGACGTGTAAGCTTTTCTTTTTAAAACCCTCAGTTTTATTATTATTATTATCATCAATATTATTATTATTTTTTTAATAATTTAATTGATTATTATCAATATTACCATTATTTTATTTGAATTGATTGTTATCAAAATTATTAGTATTTTATATTTTAACTGATTATTTGGACAAAAAAGAATGATTTTCATTAACCATTGAATATGTTTCTATGCAATGTAATATTTGTGGATATCATATGAAAAGATTTAAAATAATATCCAATACAATCCATGTATTTATAGGTTTTTATGGTTACTTAAAGCCTAGCTCACAACCCACCGTATGTGCTTCTAAGAGCAGTCTACGGGGGAAATTTTAGTAAACCTGTGCATGAAACTTAATCAACACTTGAGATTTTTCTTCACCATAGAAGATCTCAAACTGGCCGTAGAAACTTTAGGTCCTGCACACATACAAAATTTTCACCCAGTTTCTTACGGCTGGTCTGCTAACTATACCAAACCCTACGACCTGTGCATGTCAAAACACATGCGAGGCTTAAAGGGATCATTATCTCACTTTATTTGTTCCCCTAGATTTTCCAGCTTGGTTTTCTCACATTCTTTACAACTGGAAGAACCACTGACAGTTGGAATTCAATTGCTGTCTGGGTAAACTTTCCAGCACAGCACACTGTATTATGTATACCTATCTTCATTAGCCCTACTGGTGCTCAAAAGTAGGGTGTAAAACCCTTACTTTTCATTTTTTTTTTAAAGATGCACATACATACCCTCTATTGAAGACTAAGTATGTACAAATGAAACAAATGTCATTCTGAATTGATTAAGAAAATCATTCTTTTATTGTCCAGGTCATGTTTGATAATATTATTACCAAAATACACTATTTTAAAGATATCTTCAAATTGTGTGTGATAATCAAAACCTTTATTCCAAAAGTACATTCTTGACATAATTATTGCACACTCGTACTGTTATGTATTTTTTATTATTAACAGGGTAATTCAATAGGAGTTCTAGATATATTTGGGTTTGAAGACTTTGGAACCAACAGCTATGAACAGTTTTGCATAAATTATGCAAATGAACATCTCCAGTATTATTTCAATCAGCATATATTTAAGTTTGAACAGGTAAGAAAAACAAAACAATAGAAGACATGTATATAGGTAGTGAAACATTGTAATGGCAATGAAGCTGTTACATAAAAACCACTGCTTGAGAAAGCAAAGTACAGCGTAGTGGACTCTCACTTGATTCGATATTTGTTGTTTATTGCTTGCAATGTCTGTGTCTTGTCTGCAGGTTTGTCTTATTGAATCTGTTTAGTAAGTGCAGTCCTCCTGCACTTACTAATACAGTATATGTACGAGTATATCACAATCCAAGATGTTAAAATCTTTGATTGCCCAAAATGGTTAAAATAAACTGAAGTTCTCCATGTTTTCGACTTTGATACACACCTGCCAATCAAATTACACAGGCACCTACAAATTTATGGATACCAGTGCAATTATTTTGATTGGATAAAATTGATGTGTTTGACCAAAACATTTCATAAATATTCAGTAACTGACAATATAAACTGTAATAAAAAATAAAGTAAAACTCAATGCACTATACACTAGTTAATGTATTAATTACTAAATTATATATAGATGGTTGTAATAAAGTAAATATATCTGTTATGTATTACAGGAAGAATATCAGAGAGAAGGAATACAGTGGAAGAATATAGAATTTATAGATAATACTCGTTGTTTAGAACTATTCTCTAGTAGACCAAAAGGTTTATTTTGTCTTTTGGATGAAGAGTGCAAGTAAGTTTTCTTCTCATTCAGAATTTGAAAATCAGTATTACAAAATAAATGTGACAGGGACATCCCAGATTTGCTTTACAACCTGATTAAGGCACGTTCTTTCTAGAAATAATTGGTACAGAAAATATGCATCTAATCTACGGAATGGTGGTAAAATATAAATTCTTAAAGAGAGTAAGCACATGTTTCCTTGTGCATCATACTTACCATTGTCATCACAGAATTGAATTCGTCAAAAATTTGTCTGCAAAGTGTAAATATTACTGATACAATATGGGAACTATAATTTATTTTATTCTAATGAAATAGTTTTTGTTTAATTGACTTATTTAAATCAAGTTTTTATTTTATTTTTGTTTCCAGTTTTCCAGGTGCTACCAATGAAACATTATTGTCAAAATTCACTCATGTTCATAAAGACAATGTGTATTATAATGTCCCTACGCTAAGAGAATCAGCATTTGTTATCATGCACTACGCAGGAAAAGTTAAATATCAGACGAAGGTAAACTATTCTGATGTTGTAATTTGTTCAGGAAAGACTCCATTACCGCCTTGAGAAACTTGTAAGGTTTAGTGGGTGTTCAGGTGGCTTAACACATGAATCTTAGATCATAAGGTCTGTCATTGAGTCAATTTGTATGGATTTGATCCCAAATAGTAGGGTGTTTTCCTGGTGTTTCAATTTTATTGTACAGCTAAAGACCCCTACATGTAATGAAATTATTAAAATACAGTTGTGACATGTTAGTCCTGAGTGGACGTTAAAACCCCATTTCTCTCTCTCTCTCTCTTAGTACCAGTAATTGATTATAAACCTTATATGATGCCCGAGCTTGCATTATTAATTTCCTAAAAAACTGGTCATGTTAACTGAAAATATTAGAATAACAATTAATAATTGCTTTTGCATATCAGGATTTTCGAGAGAAGAATTCTGATCAAATAAGAACAGATATTGTTGGGGTCTTAAAGAAGAGTAGTTTATCTTTTGTCCGTGAATTAATGGGTAAGTACATGTAGGTCTATATGTATCACTCGTAATAAAGAACCTTATTTATTGGCTAAAGTTGGCTTCTTATTAATAAACATATCCATTTGTTACTTCTCTTTCAAATTGAATATTAGTTTTTGCAAAACATAAACTTAATTTTATCTTTTAGCTAGAGACATCAATCATTGGAAGATGTCTTTTTAGGATAGTGAATGAAATGCACATTTAAAGATACATTATGTAAGATTTAGATAACAAGCTGGCCATTTTTGCTATAATAGTTCAAAAGTAGATAATGCAAAATGAATATATTGAAAATTTTATTCAAATTACTGTACTGTGAGCCATGTTATCACTGTTTGTAGTTTTGACAAGGTGTGTGCATTGATTGATTATTATTGTAACCACGGTATTTGTATATTCCAGACTTAGCCTCGCTTATCCATTTTTAAATTAGAATATTAAAGGGCCAAACCATTCTAATCTACTTAAATCAGAGCCATCCAATGGCCTAGACAGTTGATTATAGTTTTGTCATGTTATGTTAATTTTTAATTAATAGTTTATATAACATTTAAGGCCAAAAGAAAGACCTGCATTAGGCAGATTTAGCTCCTGCATAATGTATCTTTAAGTAGTATTTATACCACATCATATGATTCTTCATGATTTGTTATTTGTAAGTAGGATGTTAAACCCCATTTCATTTCATATGATTTGTTATTTGTAAGTGGAGTCATAGTGGCATGGTGAGTAAAACACTAGCTCACTAACCGGCATGGTGAGTAACACACTAGCTCACTAACCGGCATGGTGAGTAACACACTAGCTCACTAACCAGGAGGTCTGTGGTTCAATCCTGGTGTTGATTAGAAAGTTCTCAGAGATTTTCCAGCGTTGTTTTCTCCCTGTCAGTGGCTTGGGATGGCGGGTCTAATAAGTAACGTCTTATTGTTGAATGGGACAAAAAAAAAAACGAGGTCCCATGGTACACCTTGGCTGTTGGCATGCACATAAAAGAACCCTTGACATTTGGAATTCAATAACTGCCCTGGCAAATTTCCCTCGGCTTCAACTTTCATTCATTCATTATTCGTAGGTATTGATCCAGTTGCTGTTTTACGGTGGGCAATAGTTCGGGCATTTTTCCGTTGCTTCTTTGCTTTCTTAGATTCTGGTAAAAAATGGAGAAAGCATGGAGGTAAGTTGCAAATTTTCTAAACCAATTTATCATATGATGATTTTTGACCATGATTTGTTAAAATAGACTTCTTAAGTTTGTCTCACAACATGCTTTGTCTTTACTGAAAGGTGTTTGATGATATTTTTCAGAGGGGGCAAATGTAATTGCCAAGAAAAGATTATCTGACACTCAGCTTCTACAAGACCAGAACGATGGCTTGCTCAAGTAAGTTAATTCACAATTTTAAATAAATACATACAATATAGGTAGGTGGTCACATGCAGAGATTAGATCCTACATAAAATATTTCAAAGATCTTACACATGAAATTTTCAACCGATTTTAACATCAAGTCTTATCAAATCTTTAAATAGTTGCACAATTTCCCCAATATATATTTTAAATAGACAACATCATGTAAAATTGTTAAAATAGTTTGTGATCTGGAAAAAAAGACTTTGTTTAATGAATATAAAGAAATATTTCAACAAAAATTTTGTATATTGTTTAGTGAGTTGTGCCACTGTTTATTAAGAAGTTAGTAAATAACCACACCGGATTTTGCCAAGAGATGAGATAATGTACTCCTACAGTGAATTTTGTCCCTAGAAAGTCACCATGCCAAACCATACTGCATAACTACAAGTGCATAGATTTTAACATGAAATGGAATGCATCTAACATAATAAGTTTGGCATAAGAAATAGACTTAAAGAATAGTATCCATTCATTTAAAATAGTTCCAACACAAACCATGCATTACGATATTATATAGTTATAGACAGTATCTTATCTTGTAACGTCTACTCTATCAGCTTATAACTAAACCTTCTTATCCTTTAAACACATATGTAGTCTTTTTCATCTCCCAAGATGTAGCGAATGATGAATATCATTATTAGATAGAATTAAAGAAAACATTGCCATTTTTACTTCAAGATTTTTCTACGTTGCTCAAACCATGAAAATTCTACGTAAAATTCAGTAAGTTTCTGCATTCCTTCCCTTGAGTGTTCAGTCTTGTTATTTGGATTGAACAGATGGAATGAGAAGTGAGGGCTAGTTTCTATTATCCAGTCTTTAGTGTTAGAAGTGTAGACTGACTCTGGTAAGAATTTTGACTCGGTGTACACTTCTAACGTGATGATTATAAAACTTTAGATGATCTGAATAAGAACTAGCCCTCCTCCAATGGGGAAGTGTTTGTTAGTTACTAATATAACTATTGATACTAATGTATGAGGTTATACAAATCGGTATGATATATAGAAATGTGAGCCCATTGTTAGTGTCCTTTAGAAGTGTGCAGTATCTGTGAGCATTGTTCAGTAATAACTTTCTTGTACATTTGAAATGGGCCTTCACACACTTGCATTTGTTGTTATTCAGTCACTGCAAAGAAACAGCAATAGAAATATTGTATGACCTACTTAAAAGATCTGCTAATGAATTAATTCTATTGAGTTATATAGGTTGTTATAACATAGGACAGCATTTAGATACTGATTATGATCTATGTCAGGAACTAATTTTGTTTATTATACATTGTCATAGCTCTTACTAAAATAATATTTTGTTTTTCTGTGTGAACAAATTTAAGAGAGGGATACTGAAATGGGTTCTGTCTGTCTCAGTTTTGTTTCCAGAGCATATTTCAAACCATTCAATATGTCCTTATGAAACTTTGTACACCTATAATCAACCTATTATAACATATGTTGTTGTAAAATTTTTTTATTAAACTTAGGTACAATCAATTTAGTGTCAAAAGTGGGATTCAAACCCAGACTTACATTCATAGACCAGAATTTTATTTATGATTAAAGAATATTTTTAAGATACACACCTGAAAATATTACCAGTACATACAACAGCTACCAGTAACAAGTACTTATATAAAACTGAATATAAGATTCCAATATGTCTACCTCATGGTTCTAGCACCATACAGGATATAATCGTGTGTTGCATCCTTCTCACATGCTTTCGTGGACTGATCGTTTAATCACCAGAATCAACCATTCACAGCCACAGCTTGATTGGTCATCAAATTCAACTGACCTAGGCTTGCTAGAAACCAAAGGGTTCTTCTAGACCTAGTCACAAATGTTGTGTAGCAGTAACATACTCGTATATAAAATGTATTTGTTCAAATTAACCTAATATCGTATCCCTCATATGAGTCATTATAATATATGTAGTTCTTTAGTTATTAGATGCATGTTGTTGAAATTTGTTTGATAAATATTTGTGTGTAAATTGTGTATTTAGTCGGATTTTTTTTGCAATTATTTTTTTGTGTGTATGCTTAGATTTTTAGTTTACTCTTTATTTATTAGCGGCACTAATGACCCCAATAGTCAACCTTTGTCTGATTTGCATGGAAACGCATGTGACCAAATGGATAGTGATGATGATGTGTTTGTCAAGAGGCATGGTCCAAATGGCGATGTTATTGACAATCTGATATTATCAACAAATCTAGAGAATAATTTACCTGAAGCCGAGGCCAAACATATCCGTCGTGCTAGAAAACTTATATCGTATGTTTTTTGGTTTTTTTTATTGTAATAAATGTTTTTATTTATTTTTTTTCGATACATGTTTACAAAATTTTAATTTATATATATTAGAAATTTATTTTGTTTTTATTTTGTATCCAACCAATTGATAATTGCTAAAATGTCAATATCCGTTTTCGACACTGATTCTATGGAGGTAACACAAATTAAATGTAGGACTGTTTTTAACTTGACTCCAGGTAGATGCCTATCAATGACAAACTTTGTCATAGCAACTTGCTTTTCAACTATTGCATTAAATAGCTGAAATCTGAAACTGAGAAATATTAAAAAAACACAAAACAATATGGTAGACCATTGCCAACAGGCCAGAAAATGAATGGAGACTCACCCACCCAAGATTTTCAAGCATATTGTTGGATTTACCATATGTAAAGTATTTTGTAGTGGTCAGTGAAGTTAAAAATGAAACCATTATTTTATTTTATTTGTAGGAGAAACAAATCATTTAAACCTAAGCCAAGGCCACCGTCTTTGGTAAGTAAAGCAATCTTTAAACAATTATATATAAATCCACCACTGTTCTGTGATTGCAGTAAAAAGTTTGAAAACTACTATCTTGATTTTGCATTTTCGGATAATGTATAATTTTTTCATTCCTTAATCCATGCTAAAATTTACTCAGATTGATTATTTAACATTTCATTCAATACCCTGGCTTGAAATCAATCAGTTTAAAAAGAGGCACATCAAAAGATTGTATAAATGACTGGCTTGTTTATACCATCTGCACAGAATGGCAGTAAGTCTTTAATAGACCAAGTTAGGATAACTGTACAACAAAACCAATGTTACAGTTGAGGCCGTACAATTGGATACATATTCCCCGAAAATAATTATTTGAAAATGTGTCAAATACATTATCAATGTGATATTATATTTATGGTATATTGTATTATTTATATGATATTTTAGAGTTTTCGTGATATAAAAACATTAAAGGCTATTGCGGGTAGGTCTACATATGGAGGTGGAGGATATGCTTCTAAACGACAACCACCCAGTGTCAGTGCACAGTTTCAGGTAAATTTACATTATAGAAAAATTTAATACAAAATTTTCATATTTTTAAAGATGACTACTTATAAGTTCCAAGTCACGGTAGGATGTATTCATTTGAAATATTATCTCAAATTTATACCTTGGTAAAAATCATTTTTAATCCTATCTGCTCTTCTTCATTTTTAAAAAGAAACTTTAAGGGGATGTTTGTTGCAAGTAAAACGTATATTTTTCAGATATGTATATGAATTTTATTTGATATTGTTTTTTTGTTTTTTTTGTTCAGTGGTCTTTATCTCGGCTGATGCAAACATTGAATCAAGCAAATCCATTCTTTATTAGATGCATAAAATCAAATGCTGATAAGGTAAAGTACACCATGTTCTCTTTTAATTTATGAGCTGCTTATTATTGACAGAATTATGCATAATGTTTGTTTAGATTAAATGTATCCATCTTTAAAGAGACTACTATTGTCTGTACAGTGTTTATGAGATATCATCTACCATGTTTGTAATTTGAGCAAATTATGTCTGTTTCATGGGATTCTACTGTGTAAGGATCATTGAAAAATTGTTTTCGATTTCAATGACAATATTTTACAGGCTGCGTGTGATTTTAATGAAGAAATAGTTTTACGTCAGTTAAGATATACTGGAATGCTAGCCACAGTGAAAATACGACAGTCCGGTTACAACTATAGATTAACTTTTGAGGTAAATATATGTTTTATTAGCAAGTAAATATTTGTAATCCAAAAATGTATTTTTACCTCTAATAGCATCTTTCATTCTCTCATTTCTTGTCTTCTTGCGGACAGTTTGTCTTTGACTGAAATCAGCTGGTCATGACCGCAACTTGACAAAGCTCACTGAAAACCACAGGCTTGGTCCAGACAGAGTCTAAATTGTTTTGCTTATGACTGAGGGTTAGTGATTGTCTTGCAGTAATGAATGGACCAACAAGTGAAGTTTGGGCTAAATAACTTCTTCTACACCTTGAAGATAGATTTAAAGTGTCAAAATACTTTTATGACTAATATTTTTATACTTCAGGAATTTATCCAGTTATACAAAATTCTACTTCCTCGAGGTCTGGTTAGTTCTAAAGAAGATGTTAAAAATTTTCTAGAAAATATGGAATTAAGTCTAGAACATTACCAAATAGGTAAAACCAAGGTAGGTATATATTGTATGTTTTTTTGGGGGGGTTTTTGTGTAAAACTTAATATCTCCTTTACTGGGTGATTTATCAAGTTGGGTACTTCCTTATTTAAATCGTCCTTTAAAGTAAACTGCTCTGTTACTATGTGTGTTGTACATTTCAAGACTACCCTGTACAACAGCCAGTTAACTTATTCAATTATTGAAATTTGCAGGTATTTTTACGAGAGAGTGAAAAAATGTTATTAGATGAAGCATTACACAGAGCTATAATGGAGAGGGTTGTACGAATACAGAGATGGATGAAGAGTTATTTAGAAAGAAAATTGTTTATTCGACTTAGATGGGCTAGTCTAATTATGCAGGTAAATTACCACTATTTTCACAAGAATGTTTATTGTGGAAATCAGGATTTGGGGTGATCTTGCGTTGGGGATATAATTTAGCAGTTAATTATTAAATACAGTTAGACCAACTTTTATATGCACAGAACATGTTACAAGAATTGTAATTATTTAAGCATTTTTACATTCTAAGTGTACAAGAAATTTTTCTTTGGAATCGTTCTTCTGTCAGTGATCAGCAGAGATCATCAGTCATGTGCAGAACATGAAGCATGTTGAAATTGATGGTATCTACAAAAATTTTAGGATGTACAGCATATGCAAATTTTATCTAAAATAGGAATTTTATATGCTCTTTTATATGCCCACATTTTCATGTGGACGTATTTTGTCTTCGGACCTGTTCGTCCGTTCACAATTTCTTTGTGGACACTCTACAGGTCATAATTCTTATCCGATTTTGACGAAACTTAAAATATAGGTTTATCTCCAAAAGATCTTTGTTCCTTTCGATTCGATATTGGCATGTATCGGATCGAAACTTTATGGATTATGACCCCTGATTGTACGAAAAATCATGTTTTTAGCTTGATCCAATTTTGATGAAACTTGAAATACATGTTTATAACCCAAAGATCTTGGTTCCTTTCGATATTCGCATATATCAGATCGTAACGTTACTTCCTGAATTGTAGGCCCTTGATTGTACGAAAAGTCACGTTTTTAGCCTGTGGTCCCTGTAGAGGTCACATTTTTTATCCAATTTAAAAAACAGTTTGAATATATCACCATTACACATGAAAATCAGACCTAAACCGCCGGACAAAATGGCTGCCCTTAATACGTAAATAGTGTAAATATATGGTTGTGGACCCTCTAGAGGCTACAATTGTGATTCGATTTTGATGAAACTTGAAATGCATGTTTATTATCCCAAAATCTTGGTTCCTGTCAATATTTGTGCATATCGGATTGTAACTTCTCAAATTATGGCACCTGATTATTCGAAAAATCCCATTTTTAACTTGTGGACCCGCTAGAAGTCACAATTTGTATTCAATTTAAAAAAACATTTATATATATATCACCATTACACATCAATGAAGGTTGAGTTCAAATTTCGTAAAAATTTGACCCAAACTGACGTACAAAATGGTTGCTCCTTGTATGCAAATAGTGTAAAAGTATGTAATATCATGGTTGTGGAGACTCTAGAAGTCCAATTTTTATCCTATTTCGATGAAACTTGAAATGTATGGTTATAATCCAAAGATCTTGGTTCCTTTCAATATTTGCTCATATCGAACCGTAACTTCCTGGAATATGGCCCCTGATTGTATGAAAAATCGCTTTTTTTTTTTTTAAATAGTTCTCTATCATCTCTTGCAAAATGTAGGCGTATCTTGCCTGGCAACCGCTGGTTAGTATTTACAATTCAAGAAATTTTAACAGCAAGTCAGAATTGTTCTTACAAGTTCTTTATTTATGATTCTTCTTCATAGGGATAAGTATTGACTTTGACTTTTATGATTGTCTATGATTTAATATCGTCTGAATTGTAGAAATATGTTAGAAGATTTTTGGCTGTAAAGAAGTTGAATCGTTTACGACTAGAGGATGAATCAACTCAGACTATACAGAGATATTATCGTGGTTATAAAACTCGTAAATGGTTTAATAAAACATTAGAAAATGTGATAACTTTACAAGCCCACATCAGATCTTTTCTGGCACAAAAACAGTAAGTAGTTTGGTTCAAGTTTAATGTGATTTAAGTTGTAGGGGTTTATACACACCATAATGCTATTGATTTGAATTTATAGTTTTAACTCATTAAGGGGGGTGGATGGCCGAATGGTTTGCACGTGCGCACTGTATCATAAGGTCTGTCATTGAGTCAACTGGCGTGGTTTCGATCCCCCAGTTGTACATGACAAGGTCGCCTCTCCAACCTTGTGGGTTTTCTCCGGGTCCTCTGGATTCCTCCCACTTCTAAAGACCCCTACGCGCAAGCAAATTATTGAAATAAAATTCCACCATGTGTTAGTCTTGAAATGACCTAGTTTGTGTTGAGTGGACGTTAAACTCCATTTCTCTCTCTCTTTAACTCATTATTTTACTGAACCATCTAGTCAGACCACAGCTAGAGTAGCTCATACATAGATCACTTTTGAATGTTTTACATTAGGATGGCCTTCAGTGTTAACGTAGAGTTTACTCGATTCGTAGCTATCATCTCCCTGGTGTGTCTGCTAGGGTGTGAATGATCGTGGGGAATTTTCAAGCTCACCTCCAACTTGTCAAGCGTAGCCTCCGCCGGACTGCCAAGGAAAGTGTTGCCTCGTTTTTTGGATGGTACAAAAACATGTACACTGTACACATTGGTCAACCCAGTGCACGTTGGCATAAGCGGAAATGCCTGTTGATCAAAATACTCACTCCTAGCATTGCACAAGTGACAATGTCTGAATTACTGTTGGTGTTGATGATACATTAAAAACGCCATCCATTCCGTATTTGCCAGTCAATAACAGCTTGCAAAGTAAACATAACAGAAAATTGCAATATTTGGCTAATATGAAATTTAAGTAAGATTAACTTTCATTCTGTATCGAAGGTTCCAGAGATTACGAGAAGAAAAAGAAAAACAGAGATTACTGGATGAACAAAGAGCACAAAAACGTCTTGAAGATATGCAATCATCTACTAGTGATGAAGGTGTTTTGATGAAAGGTTCCAGTGCAGAAGAATTAGAAATAGGATATGGTCCAGTAGAAAGAAGGGATTCAGAAGCGTATGTACTTTATAAATGTTGATAATTAATAGTGTCTACCTACATATATAACTTGTGATAGGCTATCTGTATTCCATTTTCTAGAAATAGAACAAAAAAAATCAGAAAGTTTTAACGAGTGAATCAGGAGCAAGAATTTTGAATTGTTTTATTTTAGCACAGTTTGCGCTAAGACCACAGAATATTATTTAAATAATTAAGAGTGCATCTTATACATAGAAATTTTTATCATAAAATCACTGTGCTTATTATACAAGAGAAATATGGTATTTATGTAAAATTTTGGAATGAGATAGATGTATATTGACTAATTTTGTTTAAAAAATGTTGGATTAAATATATGAATAATAGGTATTCTTGTTGAAGAATTTATACTTTATATCTTGTAGGAGTAGCGGAATATTAGCTGATTCAGAAAACGATACGCTAGAACATGAGGTCAACTCCCGTGGTGGTCTGAAGCCTGTATTTATAGAACAATCTCCTGTTATTATAAAAGATATTAAAAATGATACACCAAAAAGCCAAAAAAGGTAAATATTGTAGAGAATGTTATGGAATGGAGAAATCCCAGATTTCACAGATAATCTGTTGTTAAAAATGTGTTTAAAAATCGGCCTATTGCATGTTTTTCTGTAGGCCTGAAATGTTATCTAAATTATTAATTAAACATTAATTAGCTTTTCAAGACCGTAATCATCTCTCGATGTCATCATTAGCCTGAAATATTTAGTAGTTTTAAATACCTTTTATGATGGATGATTTAACATTGAAGTGGATATCTGAGACTTTTTTTTATTATCGAACAAACGGTAGTTATGACGTTCGAGGCTAGTCTAAAATTGAATAGCTAATATCTCAGTTCAGAGTGAAGCGATTTACCTGAAATTTTCAGCATATTCTGTATTATTATCTTTTTATTATTTATTTTAACTACAATATGGCAGCTTCCATTACAAGCAAGTTATGTGTTACTGAGGTCATGTGACATTAAGATAACTCATACGGTACTATTTATGGAGTAGGAGTGAGACTACAATTGACTGTCTGATAATGTGATATTGCTATAGAGTCTAAATACACCATAATATGGGTGCTTATTAAATTAAGATAATTGATCTAAATGACTTTTAGGAGACCATTATTGCTCATTCCTTTTACAGTGTTCAAGAAATTGCTTCAAAATTCCAAAATAAAGATGAGGTAAATATATGTTCACTTCCTCTATATACTTCATTTATATTGCATGTAAAGCTCATAATTTCAGCAATTATAACTCTTGATAAATATATCTATATATTGATCAGAACTTGTGGTGGCAATAGGTGTTTATTATTTCATTATTCAATTTTATTGGTTTAAGAGATTTCAAGAAAAGAAAATCCTATCTAGATTCCATTTATATTTTATAACACTAATTTAATAGTAATCTCAAGTAAAAGACATCAGTTTTATATAGTTTTATGCCAGCAATAGTTTATTCTTGATAAAGATATTAGAATATTTTATAGCTTGTCTTAGCTTAAAATCATTTTGAAAAATACTCTCTGCCATTACAAGTTTTGAATTATGTTTAGGTGGCACAATCATCATTCTGCCAATAAATAGTCTTCATTTATCATTATTTGTCCATAGAAAATAATAAGCTAAACGTAAATAAAAAACTAATCCAAATTCTTATTTTATTTTTAGAAAGGTTGTAAAAATACTGCATCTTTCAAAAGATTGTATTATACTTTTCTGAAATAAAAAATATGCTTTCACCCAAGACCCCATTTATGAATTAATTGTAATCAAGCTAAAATTAACTGTGATATGATTTGAAGGTCTTGTTTTTAATGGACAAAGTTAATGTTATCAGACATTTTATATTTTTAAAGTCTGAATGGTTAATAACAGTGTTTCTCTTAACAAATTAACAATGAAATCATTATCTTGAAGAACAATTTTATTATACAAGAAGAATAATACCATTAATTATTTTGATTTTTCGAAAGCTTTATCACCTATTCTTTAATTCACAATATTTTTATGTGTTTTAACAAAATTAAACCCTTTATTTTTAATGACAGTATGTATACATCATTATATGTATTAATAATTAATATCACATTCATTTGGTAAAAGTTATTCAGCATTTTGCAAATAATACAGGATTTGCTCTTGATTAATCTTCTAACCAAATTTCTCTTCAAGATTAAGAACTACTCAAAATCTACCAGCTACTATAAAGTCATTGGAAATTATGTTCAATCATACTTGCATGCATATTCTATTTAAGCATGATATAAAATAAAGTTAGGAACATAAACTTGTTACAGTAAATACAGGGAAACTTTCTGATCAGAACAAAAATGAAATTAAAGGCCAAACGGTAGAGTTAAGACTGTCTGATAAATAAAATTGAATTAAATTTACACCTTAAATATATTCAGAATCATTTATTTTGATTTGGAAAGCTCAAAAATTCCTTTGGCCTTTCATTTTAATTTTAGAATGTAAAGCATAATGAAAATGCTTTTTAGAATGTAAAGCATAATGAAAATGCTTTTCATTTTTTAGATTTAATAAATAATAAAGCATATCGTAATATCTACTAATAAGAAGTAAGCCTACTTGGTATATTCAATTGCATTCAAAAAGAATATCAAAAAACTTTATAAATAAGTGATGAAATCATAATACACATTTTTTTCTCAGTCTGTTTTCAAACTAGAACAGACAATAACCCTTTTCTGAGGAGTTTCTTAGATAGTATTCTCTTTTCTTATTGGATTTCGCAGAACAGTAGGACATTTCATTTATTGGATTGCTTCTGAAAAAAAAAAACCCACCTCACATAGTCTGCCTAGTTTGTAGGTATTATTGATAGTTATTTTTTTATAACCCTATCATATAATGCTAACAATAGTTTACCTCCATAATGTCACTTCCTAGGGTTTCATTAGATTTTTATATCATTAATCTATTTGTTAAATGAAAGTTTTTATTTGGAATATAAATATGATTATTTGATCATGCCAGACTGATGGCAGAAGTATTTTATTACGCCGAGGATCTAAAAGAGGACAACGCCCTGCAGTAGCTCCGCTAGCAAAACAAGAATCATTTTCAGATTTGGTATGTGAGAGTTATCTGCACTTTACAATGCTTATTGCTTAGCTTAACCCAGCATCCATGATCATAGATAGAGTTTTATTAATAATATGGGTTTTGGTATCACATATGTAAATAGTTATTGTATATTTTGCATCACTGTATTTATTATTATTATTATTATGTGGCTTATAAAGTTAATTGGTTTATTTTCTGTATAACCTACAGCATGTTATTAGTTTTATAATATATATTAGTTCATTTATAATATAGTTTCTGTGTTTGTTAATTCTATTGTTTGATTGTTTGAATTAATTTGATATCTTATTCCAATATTCGAAAAGTGCATACACAAAAGTATAGAAAGTTTGATTTAAAATGTAAACTGTTATTTGGGATAGAAGTAAATCTCAATTCCATGAAGATTAATTTATTAAAAAAAAGTCATATTAAACTTTTCAAAACTCATAGATGTCCCAATTCTCAGGTCGGCTTCTAGGCAGAACCACAATTCTATTATAACGAAGGACCTGCTGCCAACCATACAAATTTGTTCTAACTAATGTATCTACATACCATTGATACATAATACACTATCCAAAATTCTTTAGACTATATCTTAAAAGTGTAGAAACATTTTGATTAACTCAAAGTTCGAAGGGTGAATGTTCAATTGTTGTCATTTGTATGCTGTGCAGAATAAATGATTGGCCTATGTATATTTCAAATGTTTACACATCCACTGTATTCTCTGCTTTTGTACACCACGTATTACATTATTATATACAGTAATTTATTGTCCTAAGTAGATTCCATAGTAAATGAGTATTATGCACCAAAGTGAATACATATTCTTGAACATTTAACTTTGAAAGCGTAAAGAAGACTTAGACACTGATTAAACATGCATTATGCAAGAGCAAAATCTGCCTATTACAACTCTTTCTTAGGCCTGAAATGTTATCTAAATTATCAATTAGACATTAATTAACTTATCCAGACCATAATAAACTCTCGATGTCAAGGCTAGCCTTCGATGTAGGCTGGATTAGATTCCTATATGTCGCTAACAGCCAGAAAAAGTGGATAATCGAGACTATGCTGTTTATATTAATGATTTTAGTAATGATAACCGAGGCTATGCAAAAATTTCACCGGCTTCTTTCTCGGCTCATAGTGGATCAATTTGACTGAAATTTTCAGCAAATTACCATTACACTATCTAGTTTTTAACTATTATATAGCGAGAACTGCCATCTCTTTATCTTATCTCCCATAATGTATCTTTAATTCTTATCAGCAGTCTTTTTTCAAAATAAAGTTTATATGGCCCATTTTTATAAATAGGTAATATAGAAATATTCCTGTAGTTAACAGTAGGCCTATACATGGATTTATTAATATACTAATTATTCTCTAAATCTCTTATAACTTGTATTTACGCCCATAAATGTGATTGTATATTGCCGTCACCCCTGTACAGCCGTCCATTCTCCACAATTTCTCGTCAACCTTTTACAAACTATTTATATCATCTAATAAACATGATATATAGTATTTACAATGAAGAATTGAAAACTAAGTTATTGCCCTTGATCATTTTATGCTCCAGTTGTTCGAACATTTATGTTTTCATGAGTGAGACAAAACAGCCTACCAAATTTCCATTAATTGTTTATAGAAGTATTTCCCTTGCTCACTTTGTAGGGTCAACAGTGATTAAATCTGCTTGATATCTACTATATGCATGGTTCATACTAGTGATGTGATTAGCCTATCAAATTCATTATTGCCCAAGCTTTTGTTGTAGATATTTTACAGTATAAAGATTTTGCATTAAAATTTACTTAAAGAATCATATTGCAACAAACTTTGTAGACTTCCCATGTGACTTAGCTGCGCTCGGCATATGTTTCAGGGTATGACAAAAAATCTTTTAAGACTAACTTTTGATTTCATAAAACATGTATATTTAGAATCTTTAAATTCATTTAATTAGATGGAGAGAACAGATATAAATTTTAAAGATAACATGCCATTGGTTAGTAATGTTTTATCAATTCTTTGTAACCAATTGGTTAAAAGCCTATTTTAATACGATATATAATATTTACCTTTAGTAATCATGTCTGATCTATTTTGTCTATAAATGGGATGAAACAGTTTAATATTTCTATATTTATTAAATTGATAAGAAAGCATAATTGGCTTCAAGGTTAATAAGCCATGTACAATCTATGCTACATCAGCCATGCTGTATACTTAAGTTTCCTCTCAATGTCAATTTCGAGTCAATAAATTAAATACCAGTTGAATGTTTTTAGTTCTCCCTATCACTGCTGTCCTTTAAAAAATGAGGGACAGAATTGGCTCATAGAAAATATCAAAATATCCAAATTCTGCAAGATAATAATAAATTATAATTAACAGATTCACACAGATAATCAATGCTTTCTAATTGACAGTATTTTACACATTTGACTTGTCATACGCGAACATAATTGTAGGAAGTTGGTTGTAATATGTCAAAATACACTGATCTTAAGATGTAGTTTATTGCTTTACCTACCAGTATTTTAAAAACCCTAACCATAAAGATAATCAAAGAATTAGTAGTCTTGAACTAACATGCCATTGTTTCGGGTTGTAGTTGTAATTTAAAAAAAAAAAAAAAATTGTTGATATTATGTGTGTCCTGCTTTTAGATATATTCTACATATATAATAGAAATTAGCAAAACAAAACTGAATTTCGGTATAGACATGAATGATAAAGCAATGGAATTGGAAATGAAATGAAATAAGACACTGGACTGTATTAATTGGTATTCTGATAATTTTTAGAATATGACTGGTATAGTTGCATATTGAATATTGTGATTTTTGCATCCTTGTCCAATTGCTTCTGGTTGGTTTCTTTATTTTTTTGGGGCTTATGTTTGTGAAATGAGGAATAATTTCAAAATATATTTTCAGTAATATCGATATCTCACTTACAGTACTGTGATCTAGTTCTGATCTTGTTGTCTGCTTTTGTAATGATAATAAATATGTTTAACAGTACATGTATATGTAATGTTTACAGAAAAAAAAACATAACATGCTTTGAACATTTCAAATCTGTATTATTTGTAATAATATTGGTACATTAATTTCATCAATAATAATATTATAAATACTGTATATGGTAGATCATATATGTTATAATATGTAATTGCAGGAACCATCTCCAAGCCCTACCAATTCTGGACCAAACATTGTACATGTACTTTCTCCAGAACAACGGGCAGAAGCAATAAGAGCTGCAAGTGGACATGCAGCAGCAGTGGAAAAAATGCAGAATAAACTGCAAGAACCTGATAAAAGTGAAACACAGAAGGAGAAGAGTCCAATGAAAGCTGCACTTAAGAAAATGTTAGGAGGTTAGTATCGAATTTTAGATAAATCTTCATCAATTTCATTGTGTTTTGAATGTCTTCTTTGTTTAAAAAGCTGACAATATCAAAATCCTGCTTTTATTGCGAAAGAAAAAATAACATAGTCAGACTGTGCGACTGAGTTATATGTATTGGCCACTTAGACATGTATTGATATTCATTTATTTCACCTTATTGAATATGTACATTTAAAACTACTTTAGATTACATTACAAAGGCTGAATTTTTACTGTTAAGCATGACATTATTCGGTACATTTTTGAATGCTAAAGATGCTAATCGGCGGTGCAAATCTGGGCACATTTATTTCCTACTAAAATTCCATTCCTGTTTGATGAATGTCAATCCACAATTTGGGTTTAGTTAGCATTTTGCAATTACTGTGCTTACAGTATTTGGCTTATTGGTATGAAATCATCAAAGATATATTTGAGTAAATCAGATGGATTAATTCTGTATGGAAACTCTTTGAATCATGTAGAACTATCTGAAGCTCTGTGTTACTTTTTCTCCAAAATACAAATTTATGTAGTCGGTGAAATGTTCCCAAAGTCCCTGCTATTCCCAAGTTCCTGGACAGCCATGTCCACACTTGCCTAAGTAATAGTGGGAAGAAAGGGATCATTGCTGTTGCCACGTTATTCATTCAAATGAATAACAGAAGCAAATCCAACGATTTCTCTACCCCTTTAGAGTAGTTTGTGATAGAAATTTTAATTAGTTACCTCTCATAAACATTTCCTAGATTTTAAAGAAGTTGGAGCTTGTGGTACTTCTTATTATTTGATTCGACATTTGTCTTTAAAACGCAGTGTCAGCCGTAAGTCCGGAATGATTCAGTATTTCAAGTTGCATGGTGCAAATAGAATGAACAATTAGAAATGATATTTTGTAATCTTCTTGTACTTTTTTCCCAAATATTTCTGAATATTTGATCTCTTGAAAACTTACTCATATATTGTAAAAAGATAACCTATCATTGTCTGACTGTTTATGCTCTAAATCTATCATTTCAAAGCAAAGTATTATTCCTGCTAAAAGTAATTTTTACTTCAGTCTTTTGTTCAATGAAATTAGTACTACAAGCTCTGACAATTTCCATATTAACTAACAAATATATATATATATATATATATAAATTGAAGACATGTATATATTATGAATGCATGAATTACTACCTATTTGATTTATCATACATTGTTTTTATCATACCTTATTATACATTGTTTTTATCTTCCACCAAGTTTGGTTTTTCAAATATTATAAATTATAAATAAAGTAAATTATTTTACCTAAACAAAGTATTTATGAAAACATGATATGTTTTTTTTTTCATTTAACATCTTCAAAAACATTTTTGTTCAGAAGAAGTGTATTTTAATTTCCATCGATTAATTAGAAATACAATATGTGATATTTATCAGGATGATGGAACAAGGAAAAAAAGTCTGTTGTTTAAATCTTGATTTTTAATCTGTAGGTCGAAAGAAAAAAGATGCACCGGATAGTGATGAAGAGGATGAACAAGCACAAAATACTAAACGTCCTCAAGATTGTAAGTTGATTTTACAGATTTATTCTCATTATAACAGCCCACCCCCATATATAAGAGTATCCCATGCACAAAATGATTCTGTAAAAGTTTAAAAAAAAAAATGGTTACCAGACATTTGTGTATTAGCATGGACTGTATCTGTATTTGGTCCATGGTGTTCCTAATAAATATTGTGATTGGAGCAGGGGCTGCCTCGATATACTTACCCTAGCTTTACTGAGTACCTGTTACTGCAGTCCACTTTGAGAAATCTTCTTCTATGACCAGCTCTCACTGGATTTTGACAACTCGCTTGAATCAAATGTAGTATAAAACAATTAGAAATTTTGAAATATGAAAACTTTGTTTTGTCCAATATAGATTACTGGGTTTATTTCAGATGGAAATTTTCGTTATGCTATCTATGGAAGTAAGATTATTCTACATGATTCAGTCAATGTTCTTAACATGATAATCTCCCATTACTAATATATTCCATTAATCAGTAGTCTCATTAAACTGAGATTTTATCAAAATGAAAAATTAAATTTGATTCCTGTAGGTGTTATAGTTTTAACCATGGTTTTAACAGTTTGCATGATATGTGTACATAGATGTAGAAAAAATAGACTGATGACTAAATAATAACAATAGCTTGGACGGAAGATTGGGTGGCCCAATGATCTTTTACATATGCCATAGATGATAAGGTGTCATTGAGGCAAGTGGAGTGATTTCCAACTCACACTTGCATGTGACAATTCCAAGGAGTAGGGTCACCTACCTAACCTCATGGGGTTTCTTTGTTTCCCTCCCACTACTAAAGGCCCTACGTGCAAGCAAATTATTGAAATAAGATTGTACCAAATGTTAGTCCCAAAATGACCTAGTTTTTGTTGAGTGGATGTTACACTCAACTTCTCTCTTATAGCTTGGACAAAATGAACTTGCTGGGGTGATTCTTCCAACAATTTGATTTTATTGAATTAAGAAATGGCATATTTTACAGTTTGTTTAACCATAAATGAGCTGATAGTTTTTAGATAGTTTCCAGACAAGAATTATGCTATCCTTTCCTTTTTAGGTTGCATGTTTTAATGTTGTAAAGGTGTCTAGCATGTTTAATATATCAATAAAGATAACATTTAAATGTCTTAAAGACATCTTCTGACGTAAATCACATTCAGTGGTCTTAGATACACTTTCACAATACAATTTAGATGTCATAATTAATTAGGCCGAAGTGAAAAGTGTGACACAATATAATTGCATGGCCAAGTAAAGTTTGTCTAGAAAATCTATGCTTTTGTCCATCTGCAATGATGCATTTTGGCCACCAGCTCTTATAGTTGACTCTTGTGATGAATGAAGTGGAAGCTAAAAAAGGCACATTGTATCATAATCCTTGTCCTCAAGGGAAACATATGGCGTTGGTGGTCTTCAAGTCTAATGGTATTATCTTAATCTTATTTTGATGATGTCATTAATATGGACATGACATCCTTTTGGAAAAAAACAATATGTTGTAGTCAGTGTATTGTTGATGTCAGTAGATGTATAGTAGAAATAATAGCCTCTGGCAGGCAATGATAATTAAATAATGGAAAGGAAATACCAGTAATGCAAACTCTATTAGTATGATAAACCATCAACTATCAGAGCGGTAGCAGTTACAGAAGTTATGTGGAGAATTTGAATGTAAGAATTATTTTTTTGGTAGATGTTAGCTTGCAAATTAAATGGTTAAATTTAATGGCAAATATTGTGTTGGTTCTAGGTTCAAAAAATTGTTCTTAATAAGATTGTTCTGGATATCTTTGAGTACATTTTGGTGTTGTTGTGGTCTTTGTGTATGGCTTTACTTTCATTGGCTAATCTCATTCCGACAATTTAGTTAATTACATTATGAAAATGCTTGTGATGTCAGCTTAATATCGTAAACAAGTAGTATGAGCGCTTTTGTAGCGTCAGAAACATATTCCGTCGGTAGATTAGGTGGTATATAAACCAAGTCGATCGTTGTTAGAAGACACTTTAACATCAAAACGTCTAGAGTTTAGATAAATACATGCTCATCATTATTATTGAACACTTTATCTTCAAAACGTCTGGAGTTTGGATAGATACATGCTGATCATTGCTATTAGACTTCAAACCGTCTAACATTGGGATAAATACATGCTAATGGTTGTTAATAGAGAATTCAACTTAAAATTGTATTCAAACATTTGGATAAATACATGCTGATCATTGTTATTAGACATCAAAACATCTAACTTTTGGATATATACATACATTCAAATTGTATTCAGACATTTGGATAAATGAGTGCATCTTCTGACAGTATGTTATTTACTTTACTAAGACATCTATTTGTATTAGGATATTATTATATGGCCATATTGTTCTAAACGTCTTAAGTTCTGTGCATGATGGGTTGATCCTCTGTCGACCTTCTACATGCCACATGGTTCATGCCTTGTCGACTGATAATTTACAAACAAGTCGTAGTCATCAGTTAATTATTCAGCAGATATGCATTCCTCAAATACACAATTTGTAAGGATTTCTGGTTGTTTTTGGGTCAACCAAAGGAATAGGATTTCATATTACTATCTGAAATATAAAAACATATATTGAAGATATTGTGCATGAGGTAGAGTATTGGGTAGGATGTTTGACTTCTTATTTTGTTCAATTCATCAATTGACTAGTTGTTAGTATCGGCTCTTCTTCTTTTATTGTCTGATCCTGTGTCCAATAATGGATGGTATCACTGATCCAGTGTTATATGTTTTCATTTAGATAGCTGTCCTGAGGTATTCACATTGAGCTGAGTTGCAAAATGAATTCTGCTCAATTAGTATTAATTTTATGGTCTCTTAATTTCTGTAGAGTTTCTTTTATTTTTCCATAGTATAATTTTATTTCTATATTATTACAGTGGGAGTATCTGTTCTTCCTCCAATACCGAACAAAGTTCCTCCACCCCCACGATCACCAGGGAAAAAAGATGAATTCTTAGCCAATGATATCAAACATGGATGGCGTCAACAAGATGGAAAGAAGAAACGCAAGAATCATAGACAATCTCAGAAACAAAAGCAACAGCAAGAAGCACAACAGAGTAGTATGAGTATAAACAGTACATCACAATGGCAGTATGCAGCTGATCTCGTTATCCGAGATATCCAGGATGTTATAGCATTGGATGAATTTGTGGGTAAAAAGGTAAGTTTGAACAGTCTATGATATATTAGTATGGATTACTTCAGAATTATAACTCAACAATTCTATTAAACACATTATATATTTTGTTGATTCTTAGGAGAGAGGTAATAATATAGGCCTGGCCTGTTCCTCAATCCTTTCATGTGAATAAAATTTCTTTATAAAAAAAAATAAAATTCTTATTCTGGGTTGTGAAAAGTACTAGATTATTATAGACTGTTAGTTTAATAGTTAAATTGTGAGGGATAAAAATAGCCTAAGAGATTACTGCATATTCGCTCATTGATGTTAGCATTCCATCACAAGCCTTTTTACATAGTTAGACATAGAGCTGTAAAACCTAGTGAAATTCCTACCCTTTGTGAAGTAATTATTTCAATATATTTGTTATTGTTTCATTTCATTTCACTAAGGGCTTCTCAGAAATAAATACTTCTTAATATTCACACCTGACAATAGCACTTTCTTGCGATGACATTACATATGGGATTGTGTGATGTTAATTTAGACATTCATTCAATGACAAGTTTTTGCAAAAGCTTTTTTTCCAAAGATATAGGATAATGAAGATATAATTTTAGATGAATAAAAATCATAATTTGAAGTTATGCATGTCAAGGTTGGAAGAAATTTTCCTTATTTGATATATCAAGTATGTTTTACTATGAGAAAGGTTTGCTTTTCCAAATCTGTATCTAATAATCCTCTAAACATAATCTAATTTTATGTGCCCACATTTTCATGTGGAAGTATATTGTCGTTGGCCCGAAATAGGTGGTTCATATCCCAAAGATCTTGGTTCATTTCAATATTGGCATGTATCGGACCGTAACTTATTGATGGCCCCTGATCATGTTTTTATACGCCCACATTTTAATGTGGACGTATATTGTCGTCGCCCCTGTCCGTCCGTCCGGCCGTCCAGACGTCCGTCCACAATTGTTTGTGAACAGTCTACAGGTCACAATTTTTATCTGATTTCAACGAAACTTGAAATATAGGGTTATCACCCTAAGATCTCGGTTCCTTTCGATATTGGCATGTATCGGACTGTAACTTCATGGATTATGGCCCCTGATTGTCTGAAAAATCACGTTTTTAGCTTGTGAACACTGTAGAGGTCACAATTTTTATTCGATTTGGTTTAAACTTAAAATGTATGCTTATAACCCAAAGATTTCGGTTCCTTTCGATATTTGCGCATATCGGAACGTAAGTTCCTGAATTATGGCCCCTGATTGTACGAAAAATCGCGTTTTTAGCTTGTGGACCCTATAGAGGTCATAAATTTTATCCGATTTAAAAAAACGTATTATTATATCACCGTTACACCCTAAAGACGGCTAAATATGAATTTCGTAAAAATCGGCCCAAAACTGACAGAAAAGTGGCCGCCCCTCGTTCTCAAATAGCTTAAAAATATGGTATATCAAAGTTGTGGACCCTATAGAGGTCACAATTTTTATCCGATTTTGTTGAAACTTGAAATGTAAGTTTATAACCCAAAGATCTCGGTACCTGTCGATATTTGCGCATATCGAATTGTAATTTCCTGAATTATGGCCCTTGATTGTAGGAAAAATCACTTTCTTTTTAGCTTGTTCTCTATCCATCTCTCGAAAATGTGAGTGTATCCTGCCTGGCAGCCGCTGGTTAGCTTGTGGACCCTCTGGAGCTTGATTTTAAACACTGTTCAAATATTTCACTTTTACACCACAATTGTGGTAGAGTTCGAATTTTATGACAAAATGGCTGCTCCTCTTTACGCGAATAGTCTAATAAGCATGTAATTCCAAGGTTATGGACTCTCTAGAGGAGACAATTTTTATCCGATTTTTATGAAACTAAAAACTACATTTATATCCCAAAGATCTCTGTTCCTTTCAATACTGACACATGTCGGACCGTAACATCCTGGATTATGGCCCCTGATTGTACGAAAAAATCATTTTTTTTTAGCTTGTCCATCTCTTGCAAGATGTGGGCGTATCTTGCATGACAGCAACTTTTTTAGCTTTGAATAAAGCTCTGTTGTGAAGATTATTGCGTATTTAGATGGCATTAGATGATGAAGAGGAAACATTGATTTAAAGGAGCTAAATCGCTAATATTTGGGACCTAGATATTGACCCAAATGGGCCGCAACGCATATAATAATGTAATATGATTGTATATGAACTGATTTACGTTCAATTGTTTCCGTTTTGTCTCTAATTTCAAATCAGATAGGTCCAGCGAAATACGGCATGAGTCTCAACTGAATAGAAATTTCTAGCGTCTGGTTATTCCAGTCTATTGCGCGTGCTCTCCGGACATGTTATGGCGTCGCCGTATGACATGAGTTGTGGAATATGTCTAGCCTCGCTCTTTCTGGTCACTTGTTGCAGATGACGATGAAACGCACCATGGTACACGATTCGTGTACCAATGGTAAAATGTTTATTTTGTCTTAAATATTGGATATCATAAGCCTACCTTTTCCCGGTAAGATAACAACATCAATGTTGATTTGAATTGACAAATAATTTGTGTTTTCAACATGTAAGACTTTGGATGATATTGAGTTAGAGACTTAGCTACTTTAAGACTTATAAATAACTATGTAGTATAATTTTATACACCTTGTATTCAAATTATGTTTTTTTCAGTATATGGAACTGTTTAAAGATAGTGAAAAAAGAAGTTATACAATATTTGATAAGATTTTCAAAGGTGCTATAGAAGATTTTAGAAAAGAATTAAAAGCTTTAATAGGAGTAGAAATGCAGGTTAGATATGTTCTATTTCAGTTCTTCCCTCAAGTCTAATGCATAACACAGTCTATTTCAACTGTCTAAATATACATTATGTATGGTGTAGACGATCAGATCAAAACTATAGAAACAAAATGAAATTATATATGTAGCTAATATTTGTTGAAAGTCATTTTCTGTTGAATCTTAATTTACAAATAGTATTATATGATTACTTTAGCGTGATGAAGTCAGTGTGAAGTACAGGGATTTATTGAGTAATTTTGAACAAGTTCTAAAAGCAAGAGTCATTAAAGAAAGGACAACGGCAACATTCCCAGTTACCATGGGAATAAATGCATTCCATGCCTTCCTTGATGGCTTCATGAAGGCCCATCCAAAGAAAAAAGAAAAGAAAGAAGAGAAAAAGACAGAAGCAAAACATTTCAAGCGTGATAAGAAAAAAGATAATAGTTGTACAGTTGTAAGTAGATTGTTTATTAATTATAAACTTTTTTGTAGTTCCTTTGGCCTATTAATGAAAAATGTTGAGACCTACTCTATTTGACTCTTTACATGTAAAATATGTGATTGTTTTATATGGTGGAACAGAACATGTTATGATGTTTTAATAGTTACAAAGTTAATTGTTATTTGACTTGTTCATGTTTTTCTGGTTGTTTTTTTTTTCAGGATCATCTTGGTCATAAGTTTTTACAGGTTCAGTTTAACATTCCTACTTTCTGTGAATTGTGTTCCTCTTTAATATGGATTATGGAAAAAGGACAAGTTTGTCAAAGTAAGTCAAACAAAGAAATATTTAAATAAAAGTTTGTTATTTCTAAGAACATAGCACTGGAAAATATGGTATAGTGGCAATATTTATACCCAAATCTAATCAAATACTTCGATATTTCACATCTGATGTTATTGATTTTAGTAAAATTTCTCTAATTGAAAGTTCACATTTCAAATAAAAACTAGAGCTAGTTGAAATTAACACTAATTATTGTTGTCTGATATTAGGAAAGTCACTAACTTTAAGAGATAACAGACCATAATGAATTCGTTTAGGAATGTTTAAAGATATTTTTAAAAAGATCAAAGTTGAAAAGTTTGTGGATTTGAAGTAAATCATGTTAACATACAATATTAGTCTCATGTTTGAGTATTGAGGCTCCTTGATGTAAAATTATCATAATGATGGCATTAGATTTTAACTTTTAGCTTTTCTCTGTTGAAACATGTATACATATATATGTAGATTTTAAAGACAATAATGTATGGTTTTCTATTTCAGTATGTAAATACACTTGCCATAAGAAATGTTGTACTAAGTCCAGTGCTTCATGTAAGGGTACATTGGAAAACAAGGTATGATACTAAAATATTAATATTATAATTTGTATGTAAAGTTATCTTAATAAAACAAATAACACAAGTTCTTCTCATTTTGTAACATACCAATAAAAAGCTTCCAGAATAAAGGGTTTCAGTTTTTAAATTTTGTTCATTAACCACAGTTTGAAATTTATATTTTTTTTAAAAAATCATCTATTTTCAGGGCGCCACTGGTGCATTTTTAAATGTTCCATTGCAGTCCATGATTGGTAAAGATCAAAAGATACCTCCTATTGTTGAAAAATTAATCAGTGCTATAGAATTGCAAGGAATGTTTACTGAAGGTATTTACAGAAAATCGGGATCGGCACCTAAAGTACGAAGTCTTATTCAAGATATCGATGCCAGTGAGTTTAAATTATATGACATTTATAAGTGTAGTTTAATGGTCGAGAGTGAGACATTAAGTAATATGTTGTTTCAATATATTATGCTCGAGACCATTAAACAACTTAAAATACAGACACTCGCACGTGCTTTGCAATGAAATATGTCACACGGGTCCAAAATATCAACTAATATAAATAATGTACACTTGGCACATTGCCCGTACCATTATTTGAAATAATGATCCGCCACCATCAAAGGATGAGGTCACATCTGTATTTTAATTGTATTAAATTTTTTTTGTTAATATGCCCACATATTGGGGTGAATATTGTTGTCACCTGTGGGTTTGTGTCAATCTGTCCATCCTTGCATCCTTGCATCTGTTCATTTCCGTTGTTGACTGAGAAAGTTCTTCAGGATCTTCCTGCATGGTTTCCCACTGTCAGTGGTGCAGGACGGAGGGCCTGACAAGGACAGTGTCTAATTGTTCACATATGACAAAAAACTGAGGTCCTGTATACACATTGGCTTGCACAGTTTGAGCAAAATTTCTCTCATAGCACAGTGCATGTGTATGCCCGTCTTCATTAGCCCAGTCGGTGCAGAAAATTATGACGTTAAATCCCATTTCATTTCATTTCTATAGGTTGGGGTTTTGAAATTTTTTAGGGATTTTTCAAGTACCGGTAGTTATATTAATTTAAGATGTTGTTTTAAATAGTTTGAGTTAAGGTGGTGCTCTAGATCTTCATTCTGTCACCAATATGGTCATGAGTTTGTGATCTCATAATTAGCTATGGCGGTATGTGTGGTGCCATACCTAACAAAGGGCCCTGATCCTGTGCTTTTCTCCCAGGATTAAAGAACCACTGCTCAAGCTTAATAATGAAATAACTGAAATTCTGGATAGAATTGACATTTAGCAATGTTGTTTGATTGAAATGAATACTAGGCAAATTAATAATTAGTACATTAGTTTAATCGAAATGTTTCAGTAGAAATGTTCCAGATTTATATGAATGTACCACAACTTTATGTTTTCTATTTACAGATGCTAGTGGTGTGGAACTAGAAAATTATGCAGTTCATGTTCTAGCAACAGTTCTTAAACGATTCTTCCGTGATCTACCTGAACCTTTAATGACCTTTGACCTCTATGATAATTTCCTCATGGCAGCTGGTAAGAAAATATTAATGTTAAATGTACATAATGGTAGATGAAATGAAATTGGGTTTAACATCCTACTTTTCCGCACCTACTGAGCTACTCAAAACGTGCATATGCCATGCAGTGTGGTATGAGGGTAATTTTTGCCACCCAGCGGTGTTACAGCCTTCTCTTATATCAAATTCCAACTGTCAAGGGTTCTTTTATTTGCATGCCAATGTATACACGGGACCTTATCCGAACAACTAGCTACAGCTATCCATGTCAGGCCCACTATCCTACAACACTGTCAAGGGAAAACCATGCCGTACAACCCTGAGAAACTTTGTGGTCCAAGATGCGGAGCAGACCCGAGACTTCCAGGTCAGCAAGCCAGAGTCTTACTCACTCATCCACCGTGGCTTCCATAATGGTAAACAGTTATATTTTTTGAGGCAGATTTTTAGAAAATCTTATTTTATTGAAACATATATTTGAATGAAATTATAGAAGTTTTTATGTTTATGTTTTGGGGTGTTTTTTTTTCAGAAATAAAAGATGATAAAGAGAGATTACAGACATTATCTAATGTGATAGAAGGTCTCCCGAAACCAAACTATGATCTCTTTGAACGTTTAATCTTTCATTTGTCTAGGTAAGTTCTCTCGATTAAGACAGAAATGATTTATTGGAATTGTCATGTTATTTAGGTTCACTTTTCCTTTTGCTAATTTAATTGTACCTTCAAAAAATTTTCCAACTTGTCTTGATAGCTTACAAGGAAGGGTATTTTATTGAATGCTACTCTGGATTAAACTTAATTTCGTAGTTGTTGATGTATCTTCCTAAACCAATGACAACAAGCTTTTATTAGTTCATTATGGGTGATAGTTTGGTTGCTGACTAATCAGAATAGTCTATACATTTATATTCCTTAAAAATAGGCATCAAATAAGGTTTGAATGGAGAGTTAAATATTCAGTGTAGACAATGGTGACCCCATTTCCAGGAATTGTGTTTTTTCATGCTAAGGCATGTTTTCTGTTACTTGCGTTGTAAATAACAAAATGGAAAAAGCAACTGTACCCAAATGCAAAGAAAGATAACATATCAAAATTCCTTTTTACTATTGTCAATGTTGTAGTAATGGTTGAGGAGGTTATATTGCCTCAGGAATATATAATTGATGTTGCATGTATGTTTTGTTATTTCAGGATTGCCATGCATGAAGATAGTAATAAAATGTCAGCTCCAGCTTTAGCTATTATATTTGCACCATGTTTATTACGTAGTAACAAAAAATTTCAAGCGCAAGAATGTTTACAACAAGTTCCAAGACAAAATCTGTAAGTTTGAAATGCACATTTCTTCTTTGATTGGCATTAACTAATTGAACATATTTGCTTGATAAAGACGAGAGGTATCCTCATCGAAACGTCGCTTAGTATTAAACTCAATAATTGTGTATCCATAAAATCGTATCTTGTGTTAATATGCCCACATTGAGGTCATGAGAGGACAAACCCGATTGATATGCAGAATTCTGCACTTTCCTTTCATGAGTTATACCCCCTTTCTTTCTAATATTCCGTAGTTAGAATGTGATCTGAACATCTTATATGTAGGATTCTTCTGAGGCAAGTGTAGATAAATATCTGTAGTTTCCATTCAGTGCCTTGGTTTGCCTCCAAATCGTGACCCATAAAGTAATACAGACAAAATAGGGATGAAGTTGCTATGATTCTAATTCTTGATAAAGATCTAATTCTTTTTATTACAAAGAAAATTACATTGTGTCAGTTTGTTGAGCTTCTGGTACTCTTTTGCATAATGTATAAACCACCTAAGCTTGATATAGTAGCCTAATAATTACCTAACATCAATTGCAAATATTTTATCGTAATTTATTTGTTTACTTCTGTTTATTTATAGATGTTTAGAAAATATTATAACAGAGAGATTGAAGAAATTAAAATCAACATTTAACGATATCAATACTCTAGAATCTGCTGAGAAAACAGCCACAGATAGATTAACATATCTTAGAGCTAGTATTCGATCCCCAAAAGTGAGCCTTTTATTTATACATATTGGGGTTTGTGGGTTTTTTTTGCTTTATGTTTTTTTTTCCGACATTGTTTCAGGGCGGAGGGCCTGACAAGGACAGATGTCTAGTCATTTGAATGGGACAAAAAAACAAGGTCCCGTGTACACATTGGGGTGCACATAAAAGATCCCCTGGCAGTTGGAATTCGATATGAAAGTAGGCCTTAGTGCCACTCTCCAGACAAAATTTCCCTCATAGCACACTGTATGGCATATGCCCGTCTTCATTAGCCCAGTTGAAACAGAACAGTCGGATGTTAAACCCCATTTCATTTTTGTTGTTTTTTTCTGTCAATGTACTAATAGTATTAAACAATTTTTTTTACTATTTTTTTTTTTTTTTTTTTTTTTTCAGTCTCGGCCAGTATCTCGTCATGACCCCCTACCACCAATTAAAGACAAAATTGATGGTGAAGAAGTAGAAGATGAAGAAGTAGAAGAATTAAAAGAAGAAGAAAGAGTTTTATCAGCACAAATAGCATCTATTCATCAAGAAAGGTAAGTAGTAAATAACTGTTGATCATATTCATTTTAATTTTCATCGGCTAGCAAGATATAGACTATGGACTGTTCATTCTGTGCTGTTCTCCTTTTATTCAGTGTTAATACAAAAATAACTATTTAAGAGAAATAAAGAAAATCTACAGTGTCATTAAATTTGTTTGTTGATTTCAGGGAAAATTTGACATCTACCTTACCAATGTTAGATTTCCGACAAGGTAGCTCTGATGAAGACATGTTAACTGGTGATGAATTTGAAAGCTCGTTTGATCCCATGGATGAACGAGATGATTTTTATGAAGAATATGCTGTAACCTTTGACCTTCCAGGTAAATATTGATGCTTGTTGATATTTGTAGTTGTTTAAGAAAACCACAAACCAGATCATTTTGTTTTATTTTCATATAAATACTTTTGATATAATAATACGCTCATGGAGAATGGTCTGGTTTGTATGGAAATGATAGTAGAATTAATATAACTGTATTTGTTGAAGACTTATTAACATGGTGGTGTGAAATCAATAGAAAACATTGTTGTCAACTTTAATTTAGTCCTCCAGCACTTACTACTAAGTTAGAAGCCAATAAGTTGAATAATTTCTGGAACAAAATGGTTTTTCAAATAAAGCAACTGTTTTGTATGGTCTTAAAATCTATATTTAACTGTTATTCTGGCATGTTGGGTCTTTAATATCTGCATGTTCTGAAATCATAGTTGTTTTTGGGCATGCTCTTAGTCAAATTACCAGTATTCTGAAAATAAATTAGAGCAAGTGGCAGATTATATTCTTGCTTTAAAATTAAACCTAAACTGTTGAAATTGGATACAATTATGCCTAGCAAATTCATAGTTGAGGTGTAACTGTAACCAATAAACCTAAACCTTTGATTAGTTGATATTCTCAAAATATTATTCTTTTATATACAATATTAATCCGATTTGGCTCGTCATTTTTTCAGTTGTACCTCCAGGATTGCAATATCCTAATAAAAGACGTGCAGCAGTACCCCATAAAAGACCACCAAAGAAATATTCTTCCTTTTTCGCTCGAAGTGATTCACGTACAGAATCATTTGATAGTGTAGAAGAGGATTACACTGATTGTTCATCAGTAGGTAACAATCAAATAACAGTTGAAGCAAGAAATGTGACTAAACCTCACGCTACAAAAGATGATGGTGAAATCATGGTTTGAAACTGATGACAATATTCATGCAGATGGGCTTTCAAAATTCTCTTGTTTTTTCTATGTGTAGGATGAATGTTGAGTGATGCGGTTCTTTGACTCGTTCGTTTGTCTGTTAAACTAAGAATGGAATCATGGGATACACAGGGCTTTCATAAACTAATACTTTGTTCCTGTTGATTTTAGTGTATCTAAATTTGACCGTGTTTTAGTTCTTTGCGTCTGGTGAAAATGGACGGCCGCAGGCGGACTAATAGCCGGCTGATAACTAATATGTTTGTTGTTGAAGCTTGTTTGATGATTTACAGATTAACATATGTTTGTTGCTTATATAATTTGACAGTGATTATTATAGTGCTTTGAGGAATAGTTAATTTAACAATAAGATCGTGCCAAATATGGAAACCACAAGAAACTAAGGATGACAAGTAGAAGAATTTGAAATCTGTGGAATGAAAATGGAATTAAATCTCTTAAAGAGTATTTTCAAAATCTACTCAGTTCTGTAGAAATGTTTTGTTCTTATTTTTAACTTCTTTAATAATTACAATTGAGTGCTTTTTATACGCCCACATTTGATATGGGAGAATATTGTTGTAACCCCTACCTGTCAGTCTGTCCATCCATCCATCCACAATAAACACTCTACAGATCAGAGTTTTTGACATTTGTTTTTCAAACTTGCTGGGACTGTTTGTATATTCTTAAAGAGAAACCTTATTAAAATTGAGAGTCATTCAGGGAATTTTCTCAGAGTTACTGCCTCTGTCACTGAAACTTTGTAAATGCTCTATAGTTCCAGAGGAGTTTTGGCGGTTTTTTTCAAACTTAATGGTATTCTTTAGCTAATTATAGAAATAATTCGATTGAAAACCGACTGGTGTGTGTATAAATTGTTGCCTGGCAACTCTGTTATTTATATGTAAGTAAATGTATTAAATTAATTTATTCTGAAAATACATATCAAACTCTTTGTTCTTTAATTTTAGAATTAGTTTGATTTTTTTGCATGATACAACGAATTGAATTGTTAATTTCTGTAAGCATCCTGCTTAAACATGATACATGCTTGTCTGTTTACAAGGTTGGAAGTGATAATTTGTTTTATAGAAAATGCTTGCAAGTCCATAATTAAAATTTTTACAAAATAAATAGAAGAAAATTTTTTTGGTTCTTGATACATGGATTACTTATTAGTGACATATTCAAGAGATTTACATAATAGATAAACCTGTATACATCATGTAGATAAATATAAATAAGCAATAATAAAGTATTTTTAGAATAATTGTATTTTATATGTAGTCAGTATAGTTGAATTCGTATTTTATATATTTTTTGAGAATGAAAAATTACTTAGTGATCAAAACTTTATCAGTATGAAAGTGTTCTCAAAGGTTTGAAATCCAGAGACTTGCCTACAATATTTGGAATCAAACATATTAATAAATGCAATAAATACTTTGAGCTTCAACTAGAAATTTTAGAGATATATTCTGTTTGAAACTTCAGCTTCGATTAAATCTTTATAATTCAGTGGTGCCTATGATGGTATTGAATTAAAATATTCCTTTTTTTAAAAAAAAAAACCAATAAACAATGATTAGGTAAATCAGTAGATAAAAGTGCAGCATTGAAAAAAGGGTTATGCCATTAATATAATTTTCCATATAACTTTTATAGTAATAGTTTTAGTGAATGAAAATCTGCTACTTAAAATTCAACTTTTAAAGTTAAGTAAGGCCTATATTATTATTATAAAGAGTGTCATAATGAGAAATTTGGATTAGAATAATAATCCTTTTTATTATTCCTGAATTTACTAGCTTCTATAATGACTTTTGGTGGATGAAAGTCGAATGGCTCAGCAAACCTATTTCATACAATCTTTATATGTACATTGTAATACACTGTTTCTTTAGAAAGCATAGCTTTCTTTGGTTGTATTAACTGCCAATAGCTGAACCAGACACTTATTTGTTAGAAATTACAAAATAATAACTTGACTAAACTATGTTAGAGAATTACTTTATTTTATATTCAGGCCAGTAAAAGATCTGAAGAAAGTCTTGATAGAATGTTAGAAAACAGATCAAGGGTGGTATTTATGGCTTTCGTCTTAAGTATAGTATTTCTTTCTGTCCTTGTTTGGTAGGTCTTACACAATGTAGCTTGCTGTTATACTCTTAAAGCCCTTGTTTAATGCAAAATAATTTTAGTAATTGAGATAGACATAGTTTTATAGCTATTGTAGATCTATTTATTAAAGTTGTATTTGTTATCTAGTCAAAATCTAAAGGGTTATGACATTTTGTATACTTTTGTTTTTAGAAAGTACCATTTGCTGCATCAAAACCAAATCTGTTCATGGCCATTCCTGTACATTGTACCTCAATCTCATAAAAACTGCAAAGTAATCCATTTTCATGTAATAAGGAAGTCACAGGCTTGTATTTTTTATCTGTATATACGTATCTAGATCATTATAACAAATTTTTATAGCAATTTGTAGGGGACAATTTTGTCCTGATATAATTAATAAGTTCTGGAATGCTATTCATATGTATAAGGTCATCAAATCATATTAATAATATTTGTATGAGAATAGGAATTTTTAAGATCCCTGAAGACATTACTCAAAATCATATAGGTATAATATATACTAGCAACATGTAATATATTTCATATACTCTTGTATTCTGATTTTTAAATTCCGAAGTTGCAAAACTGGATCTATTAGTCACTGCAAATTCTACATTGGTCACTGACGAAGAAACATCTTTAGTAATTTAAATATATACTACTAAATGATCAAATGTCAAAATAATAATCAAAATCTATAGAAAATGACTACTAAATTACAATGCTATTAAGTATATTTTTGAGGAAGATGCATGTTTAAAACAATGTAGATGTATTCAGCCAAGTAATACATATTCTTCAATATTAGCAGTCTACAAGTTAGTGATACTTACTTAATGAATAATGTGTATTAAGTGACTACTTCCTGAATGCTATTTTGGCGATAGGTAGGTAAGGGTTTGTTGACATTTAATATTTCTAACCATTTGTTATATTTTATTAAAGTGACAACTATTTAAATCATTATTCATCCTTCTATTAACTATTTACCATCTATTATTTTAACCAAACCAACTGTCACCACATCTCCCAAATTGGGAATCTGGAAAGAGCAATGTTTATAGTAAAGTAAAACTTGCTAGGTTTGATGTGCAGAAATGTATTGTTTTCATAGTAAATGCTTTATATAATATCCATTTAATTCCTGTTGAAAGCATTCATTTTATAATTAATTTAATTAAAGTTACCTGTTGTAATTTAGTTTAATGAATTATAACATGTGTTATTTAATACTTTGTAAATATGTTATTAATTTAAACTTATGCCTACCTTCCATTGTCATAACTTTAAATACATTTAAATATGTATATAATATAAATCATCACCAGCATATTACTATATTACCTTCAGAATAGATATATCATAATTAGCTTAGATACATTTATTTAAAAGCCAATATGAATAATACACATTTAGTATTGGACTTCTTAGTTTTGAGATAAATACACACTCTTTATTCTATTTTATTTGTTTGGTTAAATATTCCCCAAGTTTACAAAAAAAACTAATTTCTGACATGATGACATTTACTTTTAATTCAGCGCTCTTACTTTTCATTTTCCTAGCCATTCAGTCAGGATGTTGTAATAATCTGACATGAAATCTTTTAATGAATATCCAAGATGTCATCAATATTTTAATCTTCCTAGTAAAGCTTGTGTATTGCTAAATGTATTATTATTATGATTGTGCCTAATATTTAGCTTATTAATACTTTTAATAAGAAATTTAATATAAATTATTCCTTTTTTCACAATACTCCTTTCTGTTGTTGCCAGCTTTTGTACATACATATAAGATAATAATATACTATTTTTATCATTGTGTAAATAATCACTAATATTATACCTGCCATAAAATGCTGTGTAAGCTAAAAACAAGATCATTAAAATATCAATATAAAACTAATTCATGTAGTCTTTTTTTCCTTATATTTTTCTTATTAAAAGTGGACATGCTCAAAATTATAAATATATCTAATTCCTTGCAAAATGAATACATATTAATACAATATTTCGGTCAGCGTTTCAATCTTTGTCCTGCATTATCGCACTTGGACGCTCGTTCGATAGCCGCATCGAAGGGATGTAACTCTCGTATGAATTTGTAGGATTAGTCTGCGGTGGAGCATCACATCTTTGCAAGACCTGAACGAATGGGTACCTGGCAGAGCAAACTTCTATTTTATACTATTTTTAGCACAAAAGGTCGCACAGAAGGTGTATAATTTTTTTTTCTAAAAATCACATAGAGAGTTTGATTGTCGAGCCGTTATAAATATTGCCTGAAAAATGCGAAAGACGATCACCCACTTTTGCAATCACCCCACCCGACCCGACCCGACCGTGTGCCTTTGCTAGTGATTCTTCAGAGAAAAAAAAGAGACACAAGTTACGTCTACTAAAAGAGCAATAGTTCATTTTAAAACAATTTCTGGCATTCTTATCTTTGTTTCATTTATTCGCACCACACATTCGATATTCAGAGGTAATAGTAGGTCTATTGGGGAATTCAACGTGCCGTATGGCCGTAATGTCAGAACTATAAATATCATCAATCCTGTTGAACTATCGCTTAGAAATAAGAAATTAGCACCCAACATATCGATTTGCAATGATTGGACTATAAAGACAAGGGCTGTGTTAAAATTTGCGAGATCTGTCAATTCATTGCTAAATGATATGGATATTTATAACATTACAAGTTCAACAGACGCTCTAAGTAGGCTATAGATTTTAAAATTTTGACAATTAGGTGAGTCTATAGCAAGGTGCCTTTTGAATATATCATAAGCTTAATGATAAAACAAAGAAACTTCAGCGAAGTAACTGTTTTATGATCGCGTGATATTAAAACTCTTTTAAAAACTATTTTATTATGATTGACATGGTGATATTATACGTACATTTTAAAAATAGCAAGTTAGTCCAAAATATTTAAAATAAAAATGACATAGGAATGAATAATAACATTCAATAAAAATCGAAGAGATAAACCTGTATATCAAAATCTGGACTTAATAATTACAAATTTCATTTTGAACAATTAATGATTGAGGAGAATAGTCAGTTTGAGTGGAATGCACCAATCTGATCAAAATACAGATCTATATTTCGTTTCGTTTTTTATACTTTCGATGACCTGCACTACATGAAGATGACAAGCTATAGTGGGAGTTCACGTCAGGGTTCAAACGAGCGACTTTTGACCCTATGACGTCAGGCATTGATTAATCAATCAGCGTTGACGTTTCTAGTGTTTTACCCACAGTTCCATACACCAATAGGCCAAGAACTCGCCGTAACAGACCGTTTCATTGGCGAATCCCTCACATCATCCAGAACACGTCAATGATAACAACTCTTCCAGATCCTAGTGTAGTAAAACGAAATTTTCAGCTTTAAAAAACCAAACGAAATAGGATCTGTGGAATGCACCATCTTAAACGAGCGAAACCAATAATTCAATAAAATTTTCAATATTGGTCCATTTCAATCAATGGTGATGTTGTTATCTTGCCGTGACAATATGGGATCCTAATTAGTCAACATTGAACACAGGTCTTTTACTCTATGGTTTTGAGCGCCATTTGTAATGGACAAAGAAAAACATTCACAAACAACTAAATAATAATATATAAACATGTAGAACCTGTTAATAATTTAATATAAATCCATTTATATACATTCATATAACATTAATATGTGTCTTTAGACACTGGTTCGGATAGTGTGTCAAACAAATGTGACTTTAAATAGAGTTAGGTTGCCAGGCAACGAAACATACGTTCATAGCAGCTAAATCGAACGTGCGGTCGACAAGGGTTGTCGCATAATTTATTCTTTTGTAGATAATTGGGAGTATTTACAAGACAATTTCATAAAGATCTGATTATAACTTTCCTGGTTTGAGGGTTCACAACATCACTATGTTCTACAAACTGAAACAAGGACCTGAAGTCTGGACGTAATTTACAGGCCTTTTCGTTTTACTAATTTAAATAATGCATATAAATTTCATACAGATCGGATTATAACTCTTGTCATGCGAACGTTCGCAAGTTCAACAAAGTAAATCAAGGGTCATAACTCTAGAAGTAATTGACGGGAATTGTTGAAATTCAACAGGCTTCTTCGTTTCACCAATTTAAATAATGCATATGAATTTCATATGAATTTCATATAGATCGAATGATAACCTCCATCATTCCAGCGTTCACAAGATTCAACAAAGTGAAACAAGGGCCATAACTCTACAAATAATTATTGTAAATTGCTGAAATTCAATAGGAGTCTTCGTTTCACCAATTTAAATAATGCAAATAAATATCGTACAGATCAGATGATAACTTTCGTCATTTTTACGACATACCAACAATACAAGTTATAAAATATGTTTATAATGTAACAAAGAAGGGGTAAAAGTTTACTATAATACCCCAAGATAACACAAATAAAGAGGTGAAATAGTTCTAAAACTGAAAGACATTGAGCATAATCACCTAACTTTTAAATATATAAATAAATAGTATTAACAGCATAAACATGAATAGACTAAAGTTAAATAAACACATATTGTCACATAAAGTCTACTTGTATTGTATAGGTGAACATAGGTTATTTGAAAGTTAGTAATAACAATATTACTTGCTAATATACCGATTATAAGGGTTACCAAAAATTATGAACATGCAGCCTAGCTAACAATTTGATATAAATATTGAATCATGCTAATTATAAGACACTGAAATGTATTAAGGTACCTATCACATAACAGGGGTCATTTTCAGAGTGACACACAAAATAAATTGATGCTAAGTCCAAATCCATATTTCAGAGAAATATCATCGGAGCGTCACCAAATTCGATAGCAATAATTTTCATAATGATATTGGTACACAAGAGGATATAATAAAGATTTGTAGCCCGTAAAGTGAGCACACGATAAATCGGAACGGACCGATGGACGGATGGGTGCTTAGACTATAATGTACGCCCATGCTACCTGGGGCCGTATAAAAATGAATGCCAAAATCCAACAAAGCGGGAAAACTCACAATCTCTGTAAATTTGATTTAAAAAAATGTTAAGAAAATATAGATGATCGATGTGTATCTTCATGGTATAGCTTTAACTATACTAATGGGATGATTGTCGTTTTAATATTCTTTTGTTATGTAATGGTGGTCTCTTAATTGTAGCTCTTGGAATATCGTCAGCATTACTTACGCACCCTTGATGTGCATAATCATCTAACAGTCTTTTCCAAACATCATCACAGCCGAGTAGATTCTTATTACCTAAAAGTTTAAAATTCTATCATTTATCAACGATAATAGTCTTTAATCGCAGTTATCCCAACGAACACGAAACTGTTTTTATCTTTATCCCCAGTTGTTGCATTTTGAGCTCTGAAAACTATTGACAGATATTAGTTTTATTTCAAAACAGAGTTCCCAAACTCATCAGCAGTAAGTATTCGCTTGGCCGCTAATATTTCTGAGAGGGCGACATCGGGGCGAGTTAATAAGCTCTCAATATTACCCTTTTTCCCCTGCAAATGAAATTCTAAAATAATTTGTAAAATTATTTAAAAAAAACAATAAATGTGTTGGAAGTATATCTGGAGAAAACATATTTTCTATTTGGGTACATAAAATAGTTCGCGAAGGCGTAAAATGAGTAAAAGGCACCGATTCTGCCCGGACCAGTTTGTGCTACTACGTCCGATGTAATCAACGCACTTACTATCGAGGCCGTATGATGTGATGTAACACTTAGTAGACCTATAATGCACTCGATCTTAAAGGTCAGTCATCTTCTACAGAGTTAAAAGAAATCTTTTGCATTACAGATGTGAAACAGATTGCTGAGTTCCACCTCATGACTTTTCATTGACTAACTTTGAGACTCAAACTCATTTAAGTTCATATAACGAATAATGAATTATATACCTATTATAAATAATCCTCTGGGGCGGAGGGGGGGGGGGGGGGCAAAGGCTTCTGGGGGCGCGGATGTACCTACACTTGCCTTGCACCTGAAAATGACGGTCAATTTCAATCTCACTCGGCATTATGGGCGCCCCGCCAATTATATTATGGGTGTGTTACGGTTCCTCGATTCCCTTAACAAAGAACGTAAATAAAATAGGGTTCGCTCCAGCCTAGCGCTAAACCAAAAGAATAAGACAAACAAAAGTTAAAAGTTAATAAATTTTATTACATATATAAAAACAATTAATTTATTATAGGCCTATAGACTATAGACTCTACTGTCTTCAGCAATGTATAATGAAGAAATTAGGCGACAAATTGCATAAATTATAATAAAATAGGCCTAATAGGCCAACAATATTAAGTTAATTTAATATAAGACACTAAATACTACTATAACTATATAGGTCTATTATATGTTAAATAAATGACCCTTTTTTTTTTTACCACCCTTCGCCCTTACACTTGCTGCAAGCAAGATTGTATTCCTATAGTTTTTCCCCAAAAGTGCTAAAAAGTAGGGATTATTTCCCCAAAAACGACCAAATTGGGATTTACCCAGTAATTCTAATTGATGAGAATGGGGATTTTTCCCCAAAAATGATAAAAGTGGGGATTTACCCACTAATTGGTGAGAATGGGGATTTTTCCCCAAAAATGATAAAAGCGGGGATTTACCCACTAATTGATGAGAATGGGGATTTTTCCCCAAAAATGATAAAAGTGGGGATTTACCCACTAATTGGTGAGAATGGGGATTTTTCCCCAAAAATGATAAAAGCGGGGATTTACCCACTAATTGATGAGAATGGGGATTTTTCCCCAAAAATGATAAAAGTGGGGATTTACCCACTAATTGATGAGAATGGGGATTTTTCCCCAAAAATGATAAAAGTGGGGATTTACCCACTAA